AACATGTCCACATATTATTGCCAAGCTTGCGAGACTCCCCGGGTGGGGACGGCAGACCAACTTCCGACCTTCCACCCTAATGCAGTCTAACAAAGGAGCTTGATGTCATGTTGCTGGGCAACCGGCAAGGAGAATCTGCAGAATCATTCTTGATTTACTGGTCATTAAAATGGGCAATCTGTAACCCCACCTGTTGCCATCGGTGGAGCTGTGTGCTGGTTTCAGTCATAGGCTACATCTCAAAATATATTGGCTTTCTTACATCAGACATTATGGGCAAATATTTCTTTTACACAATATGAATATTTTGACATAACCTAAATAACTGCCAGGTTTTTTTCTATGATGTCTTGAACTCTTCTGGCAAACATTTATTCAGAGACAGTTTGCTTGTTCTGCTGTCTGGCTTGTCAGGAAAACAACATGTGAGCCATAAAGTACTGTGTGTGGGTGTGGTGCAAACTGATAATCACATCATTGGGAGACAGTATGGCAGGAATAATCAGCACTTTGCCATCAGCCTCTTGTTTACTGCCCTCAGGAATCAGCAGCCACAAAACGTAAAAGCAACGTTGGACTGTAATGAATATTTGGATTGTTATTAATAATTAATAAAATGTTCCACCCACTTAAGATGCTAATAGTTTCCGGCAGGAGCCACAGTACGCACTCAGAAACCAGATTTGAGCATCTTGCACAGATGTCTCCTAAAACATACTGCACACCGACGTGAAAATATCACAAACCTTTGCACATTTTCAGCTCTGAGGCTCCTTTCTTGGCCATGAGTAACTAAAAAAATTTGGAGACCTTTTTACACATAATATTTTGTCACGTCACGATTTGCTCAAAGTCAAACATTCATAAGTGCTTCAAGAGATTAATACAAGTTGAGCCATTTACAGTTTGAGTGCTCATTACATTTTGCACATGAAATGGACACTGATAACTTCAACATTTTACAGGTTCCGAAATGACAGTAATGCCGATTGCGGTTTGGTAGCTATCAGCATTGTAACAATCATAAAGCGTCTGACTGTAAAAGCTGAAGCTTAATGCCTCTGGCTGTGGTCGGCACTTAGATCCATATCTTAAATCTAAATCCTTTCACTAAACTGGAAGTTATAACAACAGTCTGATTACTCATCAATTTCATTCAACTATGATCATGAATCCTTACCTGCCTGATGTCAGTGTTTACCAGCTAAGGTGGAGCAATGGCTCCTAAAAATGCAGCTATAAAATATATATAAATATATATGTATATAAATAACAACAATAAAAACTCAACAAAAGAAAATAATCACTTGTTCATGACACATGCGGTTGTTCTTCCACTGTCTAGTAAGACGTTGCAACTTTCACATCGTTGGGAGCAGCCAAACATCGAACCCCAAAATGCAGTCTGTGAAATAAATAAATAAATGAAAAACCAAAAATCCCTCATGAATGAATCACTCAGGAAATAGTGTCACCAGATACATTTTCATTCATGCCTGTCAGGGAAGAGAGGGAGGCAGCTTTTGACAGTAAATTTTGAATGAGTGTAGATTAATGTGATTCAGCTGTCTACCAATCTGGAAATCCATCAGTGAAAAAAAAAAAAAAAAAAAAAAAATCTAGATTGCAGAATCTGTCTTGAGAGACTAGCTGTCTACTAACAATTAAACATAATAATTACTGCACATTCATAATTGTCAGGTTAAGATAGGCAAAGCTAGACTGGCTAACCTATGTTTAAGTAAAATACCTCTATGGAAAAATAATAAGTATGTGGAAAAATATTAATAGATAATTTTACACCAGTTCAGTTAGTTTCCTGTGAATAAAAGTGTGCATATCACAGTATATGAAATATAAGACACAGTTAGTGTTTGAACAAGAAAATTGCTTCAAACTTAAAGAAATGTAAGCACTTTGCATGGGTAAATAAGGCATACAGTCTTAGAAATAAGAGTTCCAGCAGAGTTCTTCCTGAGGGACTAAGGTTGTCCCCAGAACCATTTGTTTCTGAGTAATCCTTTTCTAAAGACAGGGTTCTTCAATGGTCCCTTGAAAGACTAAGCCATTAAGAGCCCCTTTCATCCAAAGAAAAAAACGTTCGAGGGTTCTGTTGGGACAAAGGTTCCCCTAAGAACCTTTTTTGGAAGAAATACTTTTTCAAGGATTGTTGAATGAATAGCTGTTAAATAATCCCCACCCATCTATGTTTCAATTTTTTTTTTTTTTAAATGTAGACCTATCTGGAATCCCCTTAATCAGTTAGTTTTACCACTGATACCTTTACCATGATTTCATTCCATACAATAGTTAATTGTGTACCTGTATTGAACAGACACTGCAGCAACTCTGACATGGTGTTTTGGATTTGTCAAGTATTCTAGTATCAGTAAGCAAGACGAGCCTTAAAGAAGTGCCTCTTGTTGTGAACACTACCCCTGAAGGAACAACCCCTTAAGAGTAAAAAAGGGTGCATAAAAAGTCAGGCAAACCTTAAACTTTAAAGTAAAACATAAAAACTGTTTTTTTTCCCAGCTTTCCAGTATTGAACAGACAGTGTGTTAACTGGTTAATTGGTAGAAATACTGTCCACTCTACCACTGAACATCCTGGCAGAACTGAGATCAGCTGCACTGTTGAAATAGTAAAGGCTGCAGTGATAGTGATTTCATGAAATCTCCACCCCCTAAAATCATACCTGCAAACCATGGTTGTTGTGGGTTGTGCTGCACCAAGTCAGGCCTGACCCTTTAGGAGCTCTATACACCCTAAAGGCCTTGATACACCAAGCGACGGTCGGCCGTTGTCAAAAGTCGGGCCATCGGTGAGCATCTGCCGCCCTAGTTTTTGCGGTGTGTCCCACACCTTTGGCACTTCGACGTCAGCGTCAGTGGCTTTTTGGCCGATTGAGCATGTTGAATGGGCAGCGGAGCTTGTCGGTGAGAGATCACTCTGATTGGCTGTTCAGGTTTTATTTCCTTGCCCCTGTAGAGTGAATCTGCCTGTTGTGAAACCGGGGCAAACCGGTGCTTCCTCCTCAGGCTTCACTTCACGCAGCTGCCCGACAGACCCGCTGCTTCTTCCCACTTTAACCTGAATAACAAACCGGAGCTAGCTGTGAGGCTAGCGAAGCATTAGCCGCAGCATGACCGGAGGGAAGAACAGCCAGTTAGCCTCCGCTAGTCTCTGAGCTAGCCCCAGCTCTCCGTTTGGATCCAACCAGAGCACCGAGCCCTGGTTTGTTATTCAGGTTAAAGTGGGAAGAAGCAGCGGGTTTATCGGGCTGCTGAGTGAAGTGGAGCCTGTGGAGGAAACACTGGGACCTTCTGGATGTAATAGTCCGTGGAGGTGCTGCGGTGCTTGGTTGCACAGATAGGAAACCCCTCGGCTGTCAGGATGTACCACTCTCTCACTCCGCTCTCTCTCACGCAGGCGCAGAACGTACGTGCCACTTGGCCGTTGGATGTAGTCCGTGTAGTGTGTTCAAATGCAACTGACGCAGAGCAACGTGAGGCGATGTGAGGTGACGTAGACGACGCAACAGTTGGCTTTCATTGCCGCTGGTTCTTTGATGTCGGCTTGGTGTGTCCGCACCTTTAGACTGCTGAACGTGGTTTTCTTGGCCCCAGGCTAACCTTGTACACTAAAATCATGATTAGTGGAATATGAACGGTCTTTAAGGACCCCCCATGGTGGATTCCAGATGAAACCCTTGGAATATAAAAGGGTTCATGGTACAACTTCCTGGGTGGGTTCTAGATCAAACCATACATTAATTCATTTTCTGTAACTGCTCATCCTGTTAGGGGTCGCTGGGGGGCTGGAGCCTAGCTGACATTGGGTGAGAGGCGGGGTACACCCTGGACAGGTCACCCGACTATCACAGGGCTGACACATAGAAACAGACAACCATTCATGCACCCAGAGAGTACTCCAGCTTCATCCCACTTCCTCCATTGGTTAGCACTGTCGCGTCACAGCAAGTTTGTTCCTGGTTCGAACCTAGAGTGGGGGAGCCCTTCTGTGTGGAGTTGGCATGTGTCAGGCGACAATGCTAACCGCTAGCACTGGAACATAAAGGGGTTCAAGGAAGAATCCCCTGGGTGGGTTTTTGTTGGCACCCTTGGAAGGTGTAAAGGTTCTGAATAGTACCCCCAGAGAGGGTTCTGGCTGGAGCCATTACACTATAAAAGGTTTCTTTGTAGAACTTCAGGGTTCTGGTTGAATCTTTCACAGATGGTTCTAGGTATAGCCCTTCATGTTGAGTTCTCGGTAGAGCCCTCTGAAAGGGTTCCACGCGGGACCTTTATAAAGGTTCTACCAGGAACTGAAAAGGGATTTCCTATGGGGACAAGCCCAGCAGCCCTAAATGGTTCTAGTTAGCACCTTTATTTGTAAGAGTGTACAGTGCATAAGAAAGGGACCAATAAAGCACACAATTACCAAGAGCCCAGAACCTGAACAATTTGAGTGCTAAATGATAAGCTCACGAACACTCACAAACACCTGCTCTCTTATGTACTAGACTATACAGACATTTTTGTTTTCATCTTCACCTAATATTCGCTCACTGACTGGACTGCAGGACAAACAATGAACTGATAACAACATTGATCTTAAACCAAGAGCCATTGCTGCAATCGCACATCTACTACAAGTAAAAGCAAAACATAAGAAAAGTTGTAGAACATCACATGATAGAACAGAACATTACTGGCACGGAGGATCTGAAGAGACAGAGGGATGGACATTAAGTAGTACACAGTTTCACCAGAACATAGATGATAACAGGGTCATTATAACTGAAAAAAAAGAAGAAAAGAAAAAATATAAGCACAGGTTAGTCTAGGAGAATATTTGACCTATAACCAAACTTTAATCCCTACTTCACAGTAAGCTAAAAAAGACACAGTAATTAATTGAAGATCCTTACATACGTATATTAAACACTATATAAATATCTTTTATGTAAAGAAAATAAATGAATGTTTTAGGCATACTTGAGGTACATGTAATCTTTATTCTTTTGGCGTTCAGTGAAATGGGTTATAGCAGTGTCTTGCATGCAGTTTATTTATTTAAACACTACAAGCAATATGCATATGAATGATGGGAAATGTTAAATTCTATGTAATCAAAACATTCTTTCATTATGCATAAAATATAGTGTAAGTAATGAACGTTTTAATTACATGCAAAATATACTTACATGAATGGAATTATACTTTTATAACATGGAACAACTGTGACACAGTTTAGGGTGGTTATCATAGCTATGGGAAGAACTGACAAACGTAACACAACTGCCACTATAAAATGTAAACAGAAGTAGGAAACATGAGATGTTTGATGCCTTGTCCTTGAGACAATCATTCAGATTATTCTGAGCCGTTTTCCATCCAACTTCGATATTTATCGTGATAAAGATTGAGAGGTACACTGTGAAGAAAACAGTTTACAAAGCACACAAAAACATAAACAATATACTACCCCTTTTTTTCCAGTCACCTTTTCCAAAAATAAATATGCAGTAAGGTTGAAAAGTAAAGCTTTGACAGCACAGCCATATAACAACACCAATAATCAAACACAGGGCTTTGACTCATGAAGAAAAAATGCCGTCCATACAACATTTTTCATAGACATTTACATTTTCCACCTCACAGCTCCTGCTGCATGTACAGCATCCCTGTCTGCCTGAATGCGGCAGATTATTGAGAATATATTTGGTTTCATATCACAGGTGATAGATAGTAATTGTTCCATAAATTCCATAATTTTATAATCATTACATTGAGGTCCATCATCAAAAACAGGAAGGAAAGAAAACAGACACTATGGGGAAAAAAGCAGACACATGGAGGAGAGCTGTATTTTGAAAAAGTCAAAAATGTGAAGTCCTACAAACAGGCTATATCACAGGTAGTCTTCTACTGGAGCAAACAGTCGGAGATTTGTTAAGTGAGGTAATTTATACCAGGCTTTGTCTTATATTTTTAGCTTTAATAAAGAGCAAATCTGAAGTTGAAGACTGTGTTTTAAGCAGTTTCATGATAAAATCTGTACACAATTTGCAACATTGTAAATGGTACAAGTTGGTGAATGATTTTGATGATTCAACAAAGCTGAATGTGCAAAGTATTTCTGCCAAGTGTTACTGCTCTGACACTGATAATCAAAGATAATCGACACTCTTGCTGAATTTGTTTGGACTGTACGTTAAAATCATGTTTTTGTAATGTATATAAAAAGACAGCCATGCCGTGACTGTGTTCATTGCATCATGGAGCATGATGGACAGGGAGAGAGCATGATGAAATTAGTACACTCTAACATGCATAATCATGGAGAAACATTCATGCAGGTCTACATTTCTAGGTAACTGCAGCAACTCCAACATTGTCTCTTGGATTTGTCAAGTATTCTAGTATCAGCAAGCAAGACTAGCCTTAAAGAAGTGCTTCTTGTTGTGAACACTACCCCTGAAGGAACAACCCCTTAAGAGTAAAAAAAAAAAGTGTATAAAAAGTCAATGAGCCAAACCTTGAACTATAAAGTAAAACATAAAAACTGTTTTTTTTCTGGCTTGAAAAAAGTAAATTAATACAACAGTCAGTGATATAACAATAATTCAAGACACTCAACAGCAGAACTAGCTGCAATAGAAGTTAAAGCCTTAACTAATTTGTCTTTCAGAGTACGTAGCCATCCAAACAAACAGCCAAAAGGCATCCCTGCTCACGAACACAGCCAAAAATGTCCCACTACAGCCTGAAGGAGCCCCTTTACTCAAGGAAACATGGTCAGTTTGGCATAGATATCCATACTAAGGGAGGGAGTCCAATGGATGTCTTAGACACGTTCAAAGGTTGTAAACATTTTGTCATAAATTAGAATGTCTTTGTTGCATCTCCAGCATATTTTTTTTTACGTATATTGCTCTCTGACATCTTTGCCCTCAACTTCCTTCTCACTTTTGTCTTTTTCATATTTGTTTGCTCCATTTGTTGCCACACTGTTAGATGAAATTTGAGAGGCTGTTGAAGGTGTCAGTTCACTTTTATCAGCGCTGGAAATGTCTTTGAGCTTGTCTGTGACAACATCCTCTTTGTCATTGTATGTTTTATCCTTTTCAATGTAATCACTGGAACCGACAAATGGCTTTGTGGCACCCTGTCTCTTTGCATACTCTCTAAATGCTCTCTGGATGATGGTGGCCGATGTGTCCTCCTGTTTGCGACGGAGGGTAGTAGTGATGGGTTCGTAGGACACTTTGGAAGGATTGGAGGCCATGAAGCGCTCCTCCATCTGCGCCCTTAGGATGTCCATCTCCCCACCCTCGCCCAGAACACGCTTTGTGAATGCAAACAGGATGTCCAGGCAGTGAATGCGCTCACCGCTCACCATGGGTAGATCCATAGAGATCAGTTCCATCTTGTTAGGCTTGGCTATGCGTAATGGTGGGTCCAGAGCATCTGCAAATTCTGACAGTGTATTGTACACTATGAACTGTGATGCATGAGGATCAAACCTTTCCCAGACCTCATAAAACGTTTCGAAATCATCCTCACTTAGTGGATCTGTGCTCTCCTCAGTGGCCACACCAAAGTTTTCTAGGATAACTGCGATGTACATATTCACTACAATCAGGAAACAGATGATGATGTAGCTCACAAAGAAGGCGATCCCCACAGAAGGATTCCCACAGTCTCCCTTAACACGACTGCCAGGATGCTCCGTGAAACTGTCACAATCATCTTCGTGTTTGTTAAGAATGGGAGCAAGTAGGCCATCCCACCCTGCTGAGGTGGTGATCTGGAACAAACAGATCATGCTGTTGCCAAATGTCTCAAAATTGAAAAGGTCATCAATGCCTTCTTCTTTCTTGACATAAGCAAAGTTTGACATGCCAAAGATGGCATAGATAAACATCACCAAGAAGAGCAAGAGACCAATGTTGAACAAAGCAGGAAGTGACATCATCAAGGCAAACAGGAGCGTGCGGATTCCTTTGGCACTTTTAATAAGGCGGAGGACGCGGCCAATCCGAGCCAATCGGATGACTCTGAACAAGGTTGGCGAAACAAAATACTTCTCTATCACCTTTGAGAGAGACACACCTAAGGAAAGAAAGCAAAACATATTAAACTCTTAACAATACACACATATACTGAAAAGATTAATGTTTTTACTTTATTTGAGAACCACAGTGAACAAAGGAGAGTCGTACCAATGATTGACAGGATGACGACGATGAAATCAAACACATTCCAACCATTTGTGAAAAAGTACTGGCGAAGTGCGATCATCTTCAATAAACACTCTCCAGAGAAGATGATAATGAACACGAAATTAATCCAGTAGAGAACATTTTCCTTTTGTTCCGACTGACCATCAGTTTCCACCATCATGGCTACCATATTAAGCCATATCAGAACCATTATTACAATATCGAATGCTTGGTTTGTGGTGAAGTCAAAGATGTATCCTTGAATTTTGTTCTGAAATAGACACAAGGCAGAGAAACAGTTTAGGTGCTATGAAACAAGGATCAGATTTGTAATACAGATCAGATGCTGTCATGATTTAAGTTACATACTGATGGTCTAGGTATAGGTTTTTGTGGTTTCTTGGATCCCAGCTTTTTCATGGCATTGTAGTATTTCTTCTGTTCCTCAGTCATGAAGATGTCTTGACCTCCAAAGTAAACAGACAAACGAAGACACGTTAAATCACAGCAAAGGTGACGAGGAGATACTGCAGACGGAGAGTGAAAGAAATACTTTTAACTGTTGCATTTCATCGGAATATCACATCAAATGATCAGATTTCATATAGAAGCAGATCTGATACTTATCTTTTTCTTTTGCTGATTGAAATTGTCTATGATGACACCAATAAAGAGATTGAGTGTGAAGAAGGCTCCAAATATGATGAAAACAACAAAATACATGTACATCAGCAGGTTGATCTCATATTCCGGTTGTTGTTCTTGCTATAATAGTGACAGAAAAAGGAGACATTAGTACATTTAAGTTGTAACCCTGCTTAATTTGACAACAGCAAACAGCAAGTGCAATTTAATGACAAAAGAAAAAACTCAAAAAAGAAAAACTCTGTCGCTACTGCCTCGCGAAATCTAATGCCAGCACTTTGCTTTTATGCTTGGCAGGTTTAACTTGCCCTTTGCTGGACACCAGTGAAATGCAATACATCTCTTTGCTGTCTGTGTTACGGTTTGATTTTAATTTGGTGTGGAAACTTAATGTCTTCATGAGAAACAATTTATTCATCTGTAAAAGAAGCTAAATATAACATCATGCCATTGTGTCATGTATGTTTTCATTTATTATGTTTAGCCATCTTAAATCCTTCACATATGGAGAGATAATTGCGTGGTTTCAAAAATATCTCAAGGATTATATATCCTATGCTATATATCAGAAAGCACAATTTATAAAAGAGATTATACATTCATATGAATACATTAAAATTTGATTACTTTGCTTTGAGAGTCCACAGCAGCATACATGATGTTCGTCCAGCCCTTGAATGTGGCCTTTATAGAAGTGAACAATATGCACAAAAAACATTGCATTAGCCCTTTAATCTTTCCATCACTGCCAGTTTTACACCAGTACAGCAAATAACATACTTGCGTGCTTGAATCAACAATAGTCTAATGTTCAGTTACTTACCACCTGCAGCAGTGCAAGGTAACCTGAGCCAACATTGTCAAAGTTGATTTTGTAGTTCGTCCAGCGAGCACCAAGTTTGCCGTCACACTCTGTCTTGTTTTTCACTTCTAATGGGGTGAATGGCTCGCCTGTGGTTCTGCAGATACATTTGCCATACTTCCCCGCAAATAAGTTGACCCCCATGATGCTGAAGATGAGCCAGAAGATGAGACACACCAGCAACACATTGAAGATGGAAGGAATGGCTCCGAGCAGGGCATTGACAACCACCTGCACACCAACACACAGACATAACCCATGTGTACGGCAAAGATCACTGCATTTAGAACTGATGCACAACACTGTATATTCTGGTGATGGTAAGAATAGGAAAACACAAGAGTGAATGTTTCAGTGCCAACATACACACCAGCATGAGCTCATTACAGCTAGGACTGACACCAAAAAGCTCAAATGCAATGATAACTGCATGGTAAAGGTGGGAAAAGAATTAGGAGATGAGGCAGGAGATTGACGCTGTGTATCTAAACGTTGTCTTAGTGGGTTAAAAGTAAATTTTAGAGAAACATAGAAACAGAACACCTTTGTAGAAGGCATGATGACGCCACAAATTTTGCTTACTGTAAACAGAAACATAAATAAAACATGAAAAAATCATGTTAAAGAGCAAAAATCCAAAACATAGATATTATAATGGAAATTAATGTAGCGCATGAAAAGCTGTTCATGCAAATGAGGGAATTCACTGGCTACCACGTGAGGAAAGACCATCATCTTAACAGTGATGTAAAGAGCTAGAACACCACAACATGACAGCAACTAATCAATGCATGCTACATTGATTTCAGCAGCCAACAACCCTCCCCCTCAGTTATATAAGTTGTCAAACCCTGTTTAGACCGGGCTTGCATTGCACAGCAAAATATTGTAATGGTAGACGTGACACCACTTAAAGGAATAGTTTGACACAGATTGTCTGTTTGCGTGTAGGAAGCTGGAGCCAGGAGATGGTTAGCTTATCTTAGCATAAGATGGGGAGCAAGGGAAACAGCTAGGCTCCTTTACCAGCACCATGTTGTAACTTGTTTGTTGAAGTTATACAAAGTCTAAGGTGCATATGGGGAGTTTGTGCTGGACATTTTCTTGCCCGGGAGCAGTGATTTCCCGGAGTCTTGTGAGGAAACTATAAAAGAAGGAAAGGACATGACGTCAGTGACAACGTTCGAATTTTGCATTGTTGGGGATCCTTGATTTGCAGTTAGAGCAGGCCAGATTATTATAGCATAGTTTTAAATGTATCAGATTTGTCAGGCAAACATTCATTCTGTAAACTCTACTCCAGCAGTTTCAAGATAAGTCATGCTGTTTCCTACCCCTCCTATGTTACGTAACTAAAAAATATTAACATTCAACAATTGTTGCCTCTTTTTATGTGGTGAGAGTTAAAATTAATCATCTTCAACATGATTGTGTTATGGTTTCAGAAGGATGAAGACAGTTGGTGAACAATTAGATGCAAAATAGGATGAAGGCTCTACAGGATGATTTTTTTCTAAGCAACTACCGTGTTTTCCCCAAATGATATACAGATTTTAGGGTATTCTTTAATCTTAAATGGCTGGAAAAAAAATGCAAATAGCTAGCAAAAATTTGAAAAAATCTCCCAAGGGGAGCATGCCCCTGGACCTTGGTAGCTTTGGGCTGAGCCTTGAATGTTTACAACATCTGACTCCTCCCCTGGTGGTATCAATCCTCTGATCTAACTCTCGGCAATGCCATTTTTCCACCAAGATTGCATATGTGTGTGGGGTTTTTTAATACAAGAAAAGCATCAAAAATAGGCGATAGACTGCTTTCCAATTGCCAGTAGACTAGAGCTGTGTACACAGCTGTTTTTCTTTTCCCTGGTGTGTGACATTCTACATCACAAACAGGCCGTAAAACAGATTAGTAAACAGTAGAAAGCAGCATGGCGTCCAGTGAGAATGCTATGGTGGTTACTTCTTTTTTATATCATTTACTTATTCAGTCTCTCTCTCAAACTTGGTGCCAACTACATTTTGATTGATGATCGAGTGCTGCTTGGATGGAGACAGAAGGTATTTTGTGGCAGCCTATCCTTGCATCGCGCTGGCAAAGGGCTAAAATTAACACATCCACCTGGATGTTGTATTTCCATCACTGAAGATCAGTGTTGACTGGAGGTGGAGCCACTAAATATACATAACTACTGCAGTCATTTGTCCTGAGACGGAATGCCGATTGAATCCTTTCCCATTTAATACAAATGCTATATGTTATTGTTTTTTTGTGCAATGGGAAGAGGCTTGAAAAAGGAAATAAGTGCATTTCCTAAAATGTCAAACTGTTCCTTTAATCAAAATCCTGCAAAAGTGGTGTATAATTAGATGGTAATTTAAAAGAAAGTGACATAATCAACTTAATCATTTAAATATTTAAGTCACCCGGAGGACAAGGAACAGCTGGAGAAAGAGGATTAGGGAAGGACAGGAAAGCTTCATTTACGTGCAACACATTTTTGGGGGATCTACTCTCTAAGTTTTGCAAAATCATAGAGCTTCATGCTGCTCTTTGCCAGAGTGCTTGTATTCTGTGCCGTGAGCTAGTGACAGACAGTGCACCATGACTCAGAGTGGGTGGGGAAATCCAGTGACTCTTACCCTCATGCCTTCAAACCGAGACAGTGCTCTCAGCGGCCTCAGAGCTCGCAGGGTTCTCAGAGACTTGATGGCACCGAGTTCAGAAAATCCCAAGACATTGGCTATCATACTGACCAGTGAGACCTAGAGCACATGCACACACAGATATCAATTAAAAACATGTTTAAAAAAAGTGTATGTGTGCTTCTGTGAAAGCAGAGGTGTTTCAACCTACATCAACAATGAGGAAGTCCAGCCAGCACCAGGCATTTGTAAAATACTTGGCATATCCATATGCCACCCACTTCAGTAACATCTCCAGAATGAAGATGTACGTGAAGATTTTGTCTGCAAATTCCAACATTGTTTTAATGGTCTTCCTCTTCTCAATGTAGATGTCCTCAAGTGCCTGGGTGTAAGAGAAATGAAAGTGACTGATCTAAATAAAAGAAATATATTGTATTCACAGACTTGACCTTTGCAGATTTTTTCTATATTTCTATGGTGAGACTGTGATACCAGACACACTTTGTACTGCATGAGAGCAGGCAAATCAAGTGTTCCAAAACAACCTTATTGACATTTTTCTTCCTGCACAGACACTTACCAATGCTCCACTGCTAAGCAGGATCATAAAGATGATGAAGCTCTCAAACCAGTTGTGCTCCACAATTCGGAAGCAGGTCCTTCTAAGCGTCCACCACACCTTCCACCAGCCCACTTCCACATTTACCTGACAGCACTGGAACCTTTGCACACAGCCTGAGCACAGACAAAGGAGAGATAGTGATATACTAGTGTAACATGGACAATTAGATTAACACCAAGGCTGTGGTAGGATAAGTGGTGGTTGTAGTAGTATTCACCGTCAGTAAAGCAGGCATCAGGTTCCATACATTCTTCTGATTCAAAGTCTTCAGACTCTCCTCCCTCCCCGCCTGGCAAACCGTCTATTGTGCTGCCCTCAGAGGAGCTGATCTCGCCATCGTCGTCTACAGGCTGCAGATATAGCAGAGTAAAACCAATGTTAGAAGAGCAAACATAGCAGAGCCATGGCTAAATGTAATGAGGCTGACATGTTGAGCACCTGTCCATACACTTCATGCACTCCTTCAAATTTATTGTCATACAAAATTAGTCAAGAGATTTGCACAAGACATGTATAAAGAAAGAACACCCATTGTAAGTATTTGCTGTAACAAGATTGAACATGTCAACATGAAAAGTCTACATTATAGTTGTTACTGTTGTCTACCCTCCTCATCAACTCCACTTAAAGGGTGGGTCCATCTGTGCTCTTTTCTGTGTTTTTCTAATGGAAACTCCCACTCAGCCATTAGCAAAAGCAGTGACATAGGTCAAACTGCTGATGCACTCTCTTCCCTTAACCCCCCCCTCCCCACCATTCACTGACAATGTAGAGAGAGGAAAGTGTTCATTTTGAAGATTGAAGATTCGAGTTTGGAGATGAAAAATGGTGCTATTTTATTATTATTAAATCTCTAGGCTATTTGACCAGGTGGAACCCACTGACATTCAATATATAATACTACATTTGTACTGTATAAACATGTAGATCCATAATCAGAGTGCTTCCAGTTTGGAGAAGCAGACAAGAGTACTGGGGCACAGAAGCTAAGTTAAACACTGCTGTGAGCACCACGTTAGTTCAGTTATGAAAGTACCACAATAACATACTAACTAAGGCTGCAGCCACATGGTAACAAGATGGTCAAAACCCGTCATCAAAAGCACTGTTTTCCTACCTGGTATGCACACCCACCTTGCATGTTGTGTTACCTTTTTCGGTAACACTTTACTTGAAGGTATCTACATAAGGGTGACATGACACTGTCATAACTATGACATGACACTGTCATGGACTTGTCATAAACATTATGTTCGTGCCATAAACATTTATGACTGCTGTCGTCAAGTGTCATTCGGTTTTTGTAATGACAAGTTGACATTGTTTGGGTTGTCTTGATTATGACAACTTGACATTAATCAAAGTGACATTACCAGAAGATGTCTCTGTCATGACAAGTTGACATTAAATTTGTTTGGGATGTCCTTATAATGACAACTTGACATTAACCAGGGTGACATTACCAGAAGATGTCTTTGTCATAACAAGTTGACATTAAATTTGTTTGGGATTTCCTTATAATGACAACTTGACATTAACCAGGGTGACATTACCAGAAGATGTCTTTGTCATAACAAGTTGACATTAAATTTGTTTGGGATGTCCTTATAATGACAACTTGACATTAACCAGGGTGACATTACCAGAAGATGTCTCTGTCATAACAAGTTGACATTAAATTTGTTTGGGATGTCCTTATAATGACAACTTGACATTAACCAGGGTGACATTACCAGAAGATGTCTTTGTCATGACAATAACAATCATTATGTCAACTTGTCATAAACACGAAAAGAGGTGCATTTCTTGTCAATGTCAAGTTGTTATGACAAAGACATCTTCTGGAAATGTCATCCTGGTTAATGTCAAGTTGTCATAATCAAGACAACCCAAACAATGTCAACTTGTCATTACGAAAACCGAATGACACTTAACGACAGCAGTCATGAACGTTTATAACATGTACATAATGTTTATGACAAGTTCATGACCGTGTCATGTCATACTTATGACAATGTCATGTCACTCTTATGTAGATACAATTAAAGTACAAGTAAAGTGTTAGCCATTTTTCTATCAGTTTTTATTCCTCCATAAAAGTTAAACCCTTCTCAACTTTTCGCACCACTCAGCACTGTCACACTTGGCCCTGGCTGCCAATCAAAACAAGTGAGAGGTGGTAGTGTGTAGTTGGTGTGCGTTTTTCCATTAATTACATATGATCTTCCAGTTGGGAACACAACTCTGGTTGACAGGTGCACCACACTGTATGCATTTCTGTGTGATCAGGCCCTAACTGATCAGAGGCAGTGCTAGAACAGTAACTGCTTGTGTTCTGCAAGGTAAAATTACTGTTTCTGTCAAAGAAGTCTGGTGGCTGTGGCTGTGGACGGGGTCAGCAGTAAAATGCAGAATAGCCTCTTAAAAAAAAAAGGACCACCTAAAGTAAATATAAACATGAGAAGGGGCCTTCAGAGAGCCCTTTCTGAAGGGGAACTGAAGCTGTTATGTCGCCCTCTTCCAAGCCACCAGACTCCATTAACAGAAACACAAATTTGGTGCTGGTCTACAGCTGACTTGATCGCTTAGTTTGTGTTACTGTGCAACTTTTGTAACTGAACTAACGTGGCATCCACAGCAGCACGTGGGTTTATGCAGTACTGTATGTAGCAACGACACTGAGCAAAAATCGACGTCAGGTAATATGGGAAAACTTTTTAACAAGGGTTTGGGAAAATAATGTTTTGACTATAAAACATACATACTTCGACCAAAATTCGACATTATGGCAAAGGTGATCAGGACACTGATTAGTCACTATCATTTTACATTTTTTTTTTAAAATTATATGGTTAATGCTGTTTATGTAGATAAACAAGAGAATAATAATATGAGCATACTACAGCTGTCTGCCCAGCATGACAAGTTTCAACTGTTTAATGTTTGCTTAGCCAATTAGAGACACAAAATACAGTACTTGTTCTGTGCAGCCAGTTCTATGAAAGATAAAGAAAAAGTACATTAATAAGGCAGAAATATCTAAAAATAACTGAAGAAGCCTGGCAGTGTCGTACAGTAGCCTCATGGTCTCTCCTTCCGTCTGTTGTTGTATGGCTTTCTACAGGGTGTGTCTCCTAATAGCTGTTAGATGAGAACAGCTTGAATGCCTTCCTGGAGAATGCAGGAGCACCCAGCACTGTCCTGGGACCAGCTAATGCAGTGCAGGGAATGATGTAAGCATGTTGCTGCGATATACTGTGAGCACTAAGGTCAGTGTGTTGATGGTTTGTCCTTTAATCCATCCATTTTGTTTCAGTCAGAAGCACTTCAGCAAAACTGTAAAACATTATAGGTACTAAATGTAACTTTTAACATGTAAGTAACATTATTGATTGTTTTTTATTGCCAATGGGAGGATGGGTCTTACCCGACTGTCTCGGTTGGACCAAACCATGAATTGACCTATGGCTAAGTCCCGTCCTCAAACGCCATGAGCCAATCACAGTGCGTATAGCCATTCCCATACACTCAGACATTCTCTGCCTGGATGTCCATTGAAATGCATTACAGAAAGTCAGTTTTGTTCGGTTTTATGAGCTTTTTTTGAGATTTGAAGTTTTAAAATGGTCAAACGGTGTGCATGGGGTACATGCAACTCCAACACAAGGTATCCTGAGAGGCTGGGCGACAAGGTGTATTTTTTACACTTTAAACCACATCTCAACCGAGAAGTGTCTCCTTTGGATAAAGTTGTGTGGTAACGTTAGACCACAACATCATCTCAACGTGAATAAGATGAACAATAATGTCTACATCTGTTCTAAGGTAAGTCAACATTGTGTTTGAGGCAACATATTGTCACTTTGCTGGAATGAATTATAAAGTTATCTTTAACATCTCTAGCTAACGTGAGCTAACGTTAGCGCCTAGCTGCGTTGTTCATCATGTCAGCTTGTTTGCTGGGAGTTCATTAGCCTATTTTGTTCTAGTTTTGTACTTTGGTGATCATACATCGTTAGCTGTTGTCCAAAGGGCTCTAGTTAAGCTAACGTTAACCTCTGGAGCTTAGCTTCGTTAATTTATCTGTAATAATCGCAGAGATAACAAAGGTTGGCAAACGTTATGCTGAATGATTCAATGTAAATACTGTAGCACCAAACTAACGGAGAGACACTCTTGGTAAAGATGGTAAAAAGGCCGTTATCCTTTTCTCATATTCTGAGCCAAAAACCTTAACTTCAGTGGCACTTTAACTTGTTGTCTTTGATGGCGACGGCAACGAGATGCGGTTCACAAGTGTACACTGTGACCTGTAAATTCTGGCTTGTAATTTAAGCTTTTCATCGACCTTCTCAACAATAAAATAATGAATATATCCCTCCCATGCGTAGTTTAGGCCCTTTTGGGTACTTCTCAATGACATCTGATCGTTATGTCCCCAAAAATCATCAATTGCCTCCTGTGAAATACTGTGTACTGTGACACCTGCCATAGCGCCGGTCACTGAATGTTGATAGTTTGTCCGAGTGAGTGGAGGGGGGCGTGGCTTAGCCATAGGTCAATTATGTGAACCATTACACTCCTACTTGAGAGCAAATGAAGCAATTCAAAAAAGGATGGCAGATCTGTTAAAAAGGTAACTGGATGGTTATCTAAAATGTGGTAGGCAGTCTCCATTTCATATAGCACTGTGTTCTTCTTGCAAGTCTCCCAAAACATTGAGAGGATCTGTAAAGCAGCAGCAAGCAAGCAGTAACGACTTTCTTTCTTTCTTTTTTGCAGTCTTTCACATTTACATACAATTCCCAATTGTTGAAAGCTGAGACAAAATTTGAAATAGTAATTCAACAAAGTGAATATGTAGCAACAATCATACAAAAGACAGTCATTGTGTTTCTTTTTGTCTTTTAACTGTGAGCTTTCACAAAGCACAAACTGCCCCCTTAAGAAGAGGATTCAGCGCCCAAGCACTCAGGCTTAAATGGCACATAATGAAATCTACTCACTGGTATTTTCCTGTCTATATGGCCTCTCCCCGTTAAAGGGTCATGGTATATAGCGTCTTCAGGGAAAATGGTACGTCACGTGCTCATACCTCATCGCCAGTGTGGGCAAAGTGCTTCAACATGACTACTGTGATGGATCATACCACTTAGCTACAACAACAGATATGTTTGCCGAGAATCTCAGGCAGCACTGAAATTCTTCGTCACCCATCATACTTCATAAACCTTAGTGATATAACTGATAAGACTTGGTTTCAAAGGAGCAACTCATTTCTAGCAGTAAAGGCAGCCTTATAGACCAAACCTACCAACCTGTAAGAGCATCCTTACCACATGGCATCCTGGTACATCAGACGAGGCACTGCTGAAGTCCTCCGTGTTGGCGTTTTCAAAGTCAGACTCTCCCACAGCAATAGGAACAGTGACAGTCAGACTAGGATTGTTGATGAAAGACATTATAGAATCATCACTCTTGCTGCTGACTATGTACTTGTCTCCATTTTTGTCCACTCCAGTCACATCACCATTTCCACTCTTAGGAAAGTCTTTGATGGTATGGTTGGGGACACCGTTTGGCCCTAAAGGTTTGTGGAGCTCATTCAGGGTTTTGTCCTCGTCCTTCCCTTTCTTCTTTCTCCTGAGGCAAACACTATTGCAGCTGCTTCGAAGTAGGGACTTGAGGAAGGCAATGCCCTTTTGAATCCGTGCTATGGCAATCTGCAAATTGTTGTCACCGTCATCTTCTGTTGCTGCCAGGTTGTCAGCGCTAAATGAACTCAGCAATAGGGCCAGGAACAGGTTCAGCACCTATCAGATAATGACATGACTTAATGTAATGTAACTTAATGTGCATTATCTTTCAGCTATTGCATTTTATGATAATGTGTAGCTAAAAAAATTAATCATGGGTGGTTATTCTTTGCAACCATGAGGTAAATCTTCAAAGGTTGGACAAGTTAGACTCATGAATTGACCATAAAAATGATAATGTACCACAAGGTTTCCAATAACCATGACCATCATGTAGACAATGATGCACTTGGTCGTCCCAGCCACCTCCATACAGTCCCACATGGTCTCTATCCACTCTCCACAAAGCACTCGGAACACAATGAGGAATGAATGGAAGAAGTCACTCATGTGCCACCGGGGCAGAGTGCAGTCGGCAGAGATTTTACACACACAGTCCCTATAGCTTTTTCCAAACAGCTGCATGCCCACCACAGCAAAGATGAAGACAATAATGGCCAGCACCAGCGTCAGATTGCCCAAGGCCCCCACTGAATTACCAATTATTTTGATCAGTGTGTTAAGAGTGGGCCATGATTTTGCCAACTTGAATACTCTTAGCTGCAAAGACAAAAGAAAAACAAGTAATTCCACAAGTTTTGGCACACAAAATGCACCTAAAAGTACTCGCTACAACACATATGTATTTGTATATGCATATACTTACCAATCTGAATGATCTCAGAACAGACATGCCACCCGAGTTTGAGAAGCAAAGCTCCATCAAGCTTACACTGACAATGATTCCATCAAAAATATTCCATCGCTCCTGGAAGTAATAGTATGGATCCAAAGCAAGAAGCTTGAGGACCATTTCAGCTGTGAAGATGCTAGTGAATACCTTTATAAAAACAAAAATCAGAACTATTCACCATTAATAAACATAGTACATATTTTGTGTAAAACATTTTCTGCACTCTACGCTTACACGCCACTCACCACATTGCCCACAGCCAGCATATTGCTAAAACTCTCGCTCATCGGATAAAACTCCATGGCCATAAACAGTGTGTTGAGAACGATGCAGATGGTGATGGCTAGATCCACAAATGGATCCATCACAATTAGTTTAATCACCCTCTTGATCTTTAGCCATGCAGGACAACATTCCCAGATGAGGAAGGTGTTGGCAAAATTGTACCAGCAAGAAGGACACTTCTGCCTTGACTCTTCGAGCTCTGATGCACACAAGTGATGGAAAAACAAACAAACATTATATGTATATATTTTTTATCTGAAAGTACTATTTATCTTTTTAATATCCAAAATATAATCAAGATAGGATGCTCAAGTTATGGTGTACAATACCTACCCTCCATTGTGCTGGTTATGACACTAGCTATACTATGAACTCTCTGCCTGGCCTCTGGGCCCTCAAGGAAGTCCATGAACTCCTGTTCTGTTCCTCCACCGGTCTGTCTGTATTCCGTGTCTGAGGTGTCGGCCTGGAGATAGAAGCACTTGTTACAGATGCAACGGCACTACAGCAAATAACATGTTACCTTGGATATACAGAAGCTACACACATGAAGAAAAGTGTCAGTATTTTGCATCACAGTGTAAAGCTGCAAAAGTAAAAGAAAGCAACAAGCAAAGGGAAATGTGTATTAGAAAGATACCAGGCTGACTCCAGTAGGTAAAGCTCTATAATGACACCCTGGTCAGATAATCAGAAGCCACACTTATGCTTGCCAGTCACAGTGGATTAGAAAAAAAGGCGCATAGCAGTAAGAACATTGTTTTTTTTCCATTCCTTACCATTAAATCAGCATTACCAGTTAAATTTCAGCTTTAGTATCTACTAAGGTTTTCGTGTCTAACCAGGGTTGTGGGGAGCCTTGTGACACACCTCTCTTCCTGTGTGTCACTGACTCTGTATCACGGATGCAAATGTCTGAGGAGTATAAAGTGGACTTAAATACCAGCCTCTTTATTTAAAATTTGGAAACGATTTCTTTTTAGCCATGCTAGCTACATTTATTAGACATTTTTAGACACTGACATTTTTGTCTTTTGGTGAAATATCTCGACAACGTGGCATGGATGGTCATGAACTTTGGTAGTACAGATGCATGGTGTCATGATGAAGAAATCCTGATGACTTTGGTGATCCCCTGACTTTTCCTCTCATGCTGTCATTAGGTCAATTTTTTGGCAATTTTGCCTTTTCATTAGATAGGAAAGTTTAGTGTGAAATGGATAGAGAGGAGGGATGACATGCAGCACAGGGCCGGAGCTGTAGCTAGGACATATCCTTTGTACATGGGGCGCCCACTCTACTAGGAGAGCTAGTTGGTGCCCATTAGGTCAAATTTTTAACTGTAAAATACTTTGGTTTATGACCAAATACCTGCAAAACTAACGGCACTCACATCGGCCTAAGCTGTAGGCCTTACTTTTTGCTTTATGTTAGTTAGCAGGTGGTAGCATTCTAAAATGCTAAGACGGGGAATATGGTAAACATTATAGCCTATCTGCTTAACATCAGTATGTTAGCATTTCCATTGTGAGCATGTTAGCATTTAGCACAGAACAATGCTTGCAATTGATTAGCTCAAAGCAGGAATGCAAAATGTTAACAGCATCGCCTGCTGAAATGAATAGAATCCTATAGTTGTACTCTAACACATGCATCATTCTCGAACCAAAAACATGCTTTTTAAAAAAACCAAACATCAATAATATCAATATTAATAAAATGTTGCATAAATCACTGTTATAGAGACAAAGCGCAACGTGTCACGCTCTGAAAACCTCGCCCATTGGAGGGGAAAACTATCAGCCAACAATATGCTGAAACTCCAACAAAATGGCAGTAGCATCAGATTCAGATTCCTTGATATTTACATTTGATCGAATAACAAGATAAGATCATCATTTAACCTTACAAAGATCAAAACCTGGCGTTACATAGATCAGTTAGCTTCAACCGCTACAGTTTGTCTGGCCTAATTAGCAAAATGCTTGCTGTAGTAAGCATGCTGAGTGTTAGAATCCCACAGTTTTCCGATATCTTCCTGCTGATACCTAAACAAAACTTAATTATGGACTCTTTCCCGTGTTGGTAGTGCTTTCCACCAAAGCAGCTTTTTAGGCATTTTTGTGTTGTTTGCTAGCAGACGTAAATGAAAAGGAGGCACCTTTACACAATACGAAATTGTTTTCCCCTCCAGTGGGGGGCGATACTTGAATGCGCTCTGTCACTATGGGTGCACAGTACAACAAACAGTGTGAGTCAGACAGGAAAAGGACAAATAAAAAGAAGAAAACTGAAATATATAGAGCTAAGGACTACTAGCTATAGGCACAATAAAAGGGCCATGTGGGCTAAACAACCCTTTCTTACATTGTCTCCAGTGGAAGCCATATCTACTGTCACTTTAGGTAGAAGGAGCCCCACAGGTGACGATGGGAGCGAATTCCCTCCCACCAGAGACACAACCCCATTGCAGTCTACAGAACTATGCTTGATCCCATTGGGTGGAAGTAGGAGATGCGCCAAGAAGCTGCACTGGCTCAGACTGCTGCTGCGTCGATCACGACTCGGGGGACGAAACAAAGAGCCCCTCCGACTCAGGTTGTCCTCAAAAATGCTGTTCTCATCATCGGCAAATCCATTTTCTGAGCCTGCGTCTCGTGTTTGGCTCCGGAAACTGAAAAGGCTGGTCCGACTGTTCCGTCTGGATGAGAACAGGGGTCCACGAAAACTCAGAAAGGACTAGGAGAGAAAGATATTCTTCAGTGGATATATGCTGATTGTAAAGAGGAGAGAATGCCGATGCAAACGATCAAGCAAATGACATAAAAGAGATTTCTGTGGTGTGGTAAAGAAAGAGTTGCCTGATGATGATAATGATGATGACGATAGGGATGATGATGATGGTCATAATGATGATGGCGGGGCATGTAAGGAAACGGCAAAATTAGAAAATACAAGTTGGGGATGACTAAGAATGGTAAGAACGATAACTGATGGTGATGACGAAGAAAAAGATAATCATGAAAACAGTGGTGGTGGTGATGATGATGATGATGATGTTTATAAGCATTGCAAGGAAAATTGCAAAATAAAAAATGCATCTTGATGATTGACAGTAACAAGAATATAAGAAGTTGATGAAGAAAAAGAAGAAGAAGAAGCTGATTATGATGATGATGATGATGATGGCGATACTAATGATGATAAAAGGAAAAAAGCGCCATTGCGATAGCAGTGAAAGACACGCTGCTTTAGCCTCAACTGCAGGACATAAAAGTAGTCACAAAATTTGCTAGAAACTCACAAAGGATCAGGAAAGTTAGCAAATACATATGTTGAATAACTCTTAAGCTATTCAGTATTCTAAAATCTCACACTCACAGCTTTGTGCAGCTGTAACATAAGCTTCATAATCACATTATCAGTCCTTTTGCGTCTCCTGACTGTCACTCATTTTGAGCTCTGCGAGGAGCTTGACAAATGCCAATGAGTCTTCTGACAAAAGTCAGACATATCTGCCATTCAGTTAAGAGAACACTTAACACAGATTTTTTTAGTTATTAAGTAGAAATGTTTAACAGTTATTAGAATTTTATTCTTGACTGATTCAGAATTACCTTAGCAGTAATACTGAAGTTAAAATAATGGATAAAAGCAATGTGTAAAGGCAACTTTAGAGTTGAGACATAATAAGCTGCAAGCAGAGCAACAGTGAGTGATACATTGGTAGCAGAATATCAGTGCTTTCACAAACAAATCACACTGACAGATATACTGAACCTGATGTGCTAATGAGCATTTCATGTCATAGTTGAGCTGGTTTGCATCCACAGAGAAGCGGCAGCGAGCTTTCTTCATACTGTCCTGCGACTCGGATTTAGGAACCCTCTCACCAGCCTCTTTGCCCTCCTCTTCCTTCCTTTTTCTTCGCCTGTTTCGCCTCTCTTTGGCACTTTTGGAGCTGAGCTTGGAGGTGTCAGTGGAGCTCTCAGGGCCGCTGGCTTTGTTGCTGGCCTCCCCACTCTCTGCAGCAGCTGCAGTTGCTGCTGCCTAAAGGAGGTAATAGAGAAAAATGGGGTGAACACGTGGAATAAATCTTTGTGGTTCTTCTTTTGCTTAGTTTTTGTTGACAACATTGTCAGAAAACTGCTATCTGCAGACAGATAGTTCTTTCTCCTGCCATGAAGAAACACAGTATGTCTTACTGTGATTAAAAAACACAATGGGTAGCATCGTTTTTAGAGAAAGCATCAACATGCTAATACCTGTAGGTCTGTTGGGGCTTATTTACAGGATGCAGATACATAACCAGGTATTGTGGAGCAAGTCACATTTTCAATATACATTATTATATTGCAAAGAAAATCAAAACAAAAGAGAAGCTTTGGCAACTTTCAAATACAGCTGACAACTGGCAACCACAGAATATGGTGCTGGGATGTAACTATGTATATTGACTCCAATATTGTACTTAAGTTTAAATTTGAGATTGCTGTACTTTGCTTAAGTACTTCCATGTTCTGCTACTTTAAATCTCTACTCCACTTAAGTTCAGTGGAAAATATTGTACTGTTTATGCCACTACTACTACTACTTTAGTTACTACATACTTTACAGATTAAAATTGTACATGCAACATAGTTAAATTATCTCCTCATCAGCAAAGTACAACATTAAAATACTGTATCAGTAGTAATATTCCAATCATATAATATATAATAGTCAGGGTAGTAGCGAGGATTTTAGAAATACTCATGAGTCCAAGACCCGCCTCACCTCACCTCAAACATTTTAATAAGGCTGTCAAAATAATGCATTATTTTGATTGATTAATCACTGAAAAAATAACATGATGCCTTTTGACCGGATGCATCATTAAAGGCCCCAGTGGCTTTGTCACATGATGGAGGCAGACGAGGGAACTGCCCATTGGTCCGACAACCCATTGGTCCGACATCCCATTGTTATTACCATATTAAACCCATTGTTCCGAAGTCCTGTTGTTCCGAAATCATCATGATGCCCTGTGGTTAAGGTCTGGTTAGGTTTAGGCACAAAAACCACTTGGTTAGGGTTAGGAAAAGATCATGATGTGGGTTAAAATGAAAAAGAAAGTGACAAACACATAAGCTGTGAGCCTGCTTCGCCTCAAGCCTTTCCCAGCTGACCCAGAGCCGGTCGCGACGCACCATCAAGGTAGAAATTCGCCCGCTAGGAGCCGTTCGGCACCACGGACCATTGGACTAATGGGATGTCGGACCAATGGGCTGTCGGACCAATGACATGGACCCGGCAGACGAGACGCTGCTTGGCCCCATAAACGGAACATTTACAATTAAAAAACACCCAGATGGAACTGTTGATAGGAGCACTATTCTTTGCAGTTTCTGCAGTATCACCTCAATGCAAAGCATTTAGCAGCGAACCCGGAGGTCCAAGCCAGCACGGCCTCTGATGCTAGCACTAGCAGCTAGCCTCGTCAAGCCACACTCAACCAAGCGTTCAGACACAAACTGAGTAAGTCCACCTGTGACGACTAACTCCCTTGCAAAATGGATTGCAATGGACAGCAGACCAATATTTTCAAAAAAAAAATTGATGATGATTAATTTAGATAAGATTTTTTTTTTAAATGCTTGACAGCCCTAGTGTTCCATTAGTTGTTTGTTTCTTCTTTTATATCCTAGCTATAAAGTCAAGATTTAAATATTTTGTGTTCAATATTTTGTGTAACATTTACTTCCAAACACTAACATCAAAGACTGAAATTCTGGTGGAGAATTGCTAAATTGATTACTTATTCATTCACTGGTCTGAAAAGTAGTCAAATTTAAATATATTCTAGTCTAAAAATACTAAAATCAACCTGTTAAATATGCATCATGTGGAAGTTTTTAATTATAGCCCCCAGGTTTCTGAAAAGCCCAAACTCTAAGACAATATACAGAGACATAAACTCAGCTGCAACCATATAACAATACAAATCTAATGAGTACTTTTACTTTTGATGCTTAAGGTACATTTTGCTTATAATACTTATGTATTTTTACTTATGTAACATCATAAATGCAGGAATTAACTTCCATCCTCCACCACTGGCAAAATCATACATACAGTATGTATACATGGACATGTATTGTATGTAACTAGTTTGTGGTTTGTTCCAAATCATCATATGAAAGACTCATAACAACAATACTAGTGTGCATGTAAACAGGCAGCTAAATGTGAATTACCATAGATACACACAGCTGTCTTTTGTAAAAGTCTAATATAAAAAACAATTTCTAGTTCTAAAAAATAAGATGCATCCCAGCTTTATGTCATTTAATTGGAATCAGTCATTTGACATCAACTTATATTTAGACCATGGATTGTCCTGTACCTGAGCGTCCTCCTGCTGCCGTCTCAGCTGGTCAATCATGGCCTTATACTCTTCCTCCTTCTCTAGCTCCTCCTTTTGGGTGGCCTGGCTCTGCTCCTCGTAGGCCATGGCGACTACAGCCAAGATCAGGTTGATCAGGTAGAAGGAACCGAGGAATATCACCAGCACAAAAAAGATCATGTAGGGCTTTCCAGCTGCCCGCAACGTCTGGAAGAAAAATAAACAGTTTAGTAGTAAATTCATAATCTGATTATTCTTAATACAGGCCCACTAGTTCATTTTTAATCTTTTTATTTTTCTTTATGTTTATTCCACATTACTTTTCTGCTTTGTGTTATTTGCCATGGGTTAAATATATGATAATGCAGCAAAATTTATATAGATGTCTCTCACACTGCATTTGTTTGTCTGTGGCCAATACATTTAAAGAAATAATGTCCATGCTCACGTTCTCAGGGGTAAGACACTGACATGAAATTGAATTAATTAGATTAAATACCCTGTGAAATTTGCCGCTGTGACACCATCAGCCCAAAGGATAACAAAGAAAAAATAACAACAATCACCAAGTGACCAAACAAGTAATGCTACTCTATTACGCACAAAAGGTTTTGCCCATGGGAGCTTTGTTAAATTAATGTTTGCTTTACTTGCTCTTACTACAATATTAAGCCTATTCAGTGGACACCTATTTGCCTTTAGGGCCATTCAAGTTGTGTTTGCCTATGTCACAGTGGGACTCATCATTGTTCCTTTTGATCAAGATGCACCTGCACGTCATTTAGAGGTTGTTTGAACACTTTTAATCCCAATATTGTAATGGCAGAATGTTTTGTCTATGACTGAGCCCCTCCTTAACACAGCAAGTCCTGCCTGTTTATGTAGACTGCACATATACAGCATCCTCCACCACACAAGGTCAAGGTCAAACATTTCATCAACCTGCCACCAAACCAACCACTGTTCTTCTCATAAGGATGCTGAGAAACCAAAGTACTTCATCCACAAAACTGCAATTTGTATACTAATTACTCATCCTGTGTTACCTTGAATTTGCGAGGAAAACTTTTTCTTGCATGCCGGTGAACGAAAAATCGAAAAAACGGTGAGCATTCTGGATAAAGTGAAGTAAAGGAGGACTGAGTTTAACAACACCTAAAACTATAACACATCTGCTTTCAAAATCTCACACAGCTCTTGCAGTATAATCCAATTCTCATTTATCCAGTCGTAGTCTCCCTACTTTCCAAACACATGCATTTTCGCTAAAACCGAAGTATTTAAAACACTTAGTCCAGCACTGTAACGCACAAATGAGAGCCACTCTACCATGTTTGACACAGATTAGTGTATTGAGTAATTATTGGAGCTTTTTAACATTACAACCCAGTCAACATATGTATGTGGGGCCTATGTGGGCTAGTAAATGGGATTGTCCATGGGTTCCATAATGGCCTCATGCCGAATGCCCACATGGGTGGTTTTACCCAAGTGGGCCCAGGATAAGATGCCCATTTTGGGCCCATACCAACTCGGTACCCAGGTAGCCTTAGCATAACCCCTGTGCAGCCCACTTGGGTAAACCCACCCATGTGGGCAATTGGAGTAGTGCCATTATGGAACCCATGGACAATCCCATATAGGGCCCATTTTTCAGATCATTTACAACCCACATGGGGCCAACAAACAAATCTTGACTGGGAATCTAGTGTCACAACCACTGCCTTCAAACATTAAATTGTCTTACAAAACAACTTGTAAAAACCAAACCTGACAAAGAATTCCACTGCAGTGACAAAAACAAAGCTTGTCAGTATAGGTCAGTCTTTTCATCGTAAAATCTGTTATATTTGCATTCATCGCTCATAATATGTTGTTATAACTCACTATATACAAATGTCAACTATTTAGACTTAAGTTAGCAAGCCAGTTGCTGCTGCTATATGTCTCAAGACACATTTTTGTGGACTTTGTTGCTTTCTTTAATACATTTTCTTTTAACCTATAGTGTTTTTATTGCATGAAATTTGAGTTTTAACCAATAATGAATTACTTAAGTATTGTGTTTATCTTTTAATGTATCTTCATTTTGTTTAAAGCATTTAGTAATTGATATTTATGACTCAAAAATCAATATACATGCATTTAAATCTAGAAAAATTCATCCAGTCTTTCTAATTTCACTGCTTACCTGCTGGTAAAGGTTTTCCCAGAAATCCTGTGTCATCAGTCTAAACAGAGCAAGGAAGGCCCAACCAAATGAGTCAAAGCTGGTGTAATCATAGTCTGGGTTCTTTCCCACTTTCCTGCAAGTGAACCCCTCCGGACACTCCCTGCAACAAACAAAGACTGTGAGGCTCAGGAGGCGTTGTCCCTCCACGACATCAAATATGCTCAAAATGTCCCCCTGATATTAAAATATATATATATATATATAAAAAAATTAAAAAACCATGCTCGCCATCTGTAAAAATGATTATTTTTTGCATATTTGTATGTACAGTCTTTGAGGAAAAATAAGTAATCAAATTACAGATATTGATCAAAATTTTGGTGACTACAAAGGGGTTACTCCAAATATATTCTTTTTGTACAAATGTTTCAAAGTATAAAATTCATTCTGTTGCTTTGCATCTTTTTGCCTTCTTTTCACACAGCCTGTTTCCAGACATTTTTTTTTCAGCTTTATTTGTTACTGAAGTAATTAACTACTTAAATGTAGTAAAATCCATCACTGGTGAAGAAATTACAATAGTTACATTACTTATTAAATTTTCAACAGGTTACCTTGTAATCAGTAACCTATAACGTTTCAAAAGTAACATTCTCAACACTGATAATAGGAAATGAGTTTTCAATTTTTTAATTTCTTTCTGGGGGGACCTTATACGCCCCGGCAGGTGTGGTTCCTCCCCAAGTGTTGAGTCTATGGCTATACCTCCTCGGAGAATTAGCTTACCCAGCGCCACGGCCAGTTCCACAAAGCAATGGATCTCGTTTGCCTTTAAGGTAATACAAATTACCTGATGGGGGAAAAAAGAAAATCACACTTTATTTGCCAGAAGTGGCTGCAAAGATGCCAAAGATACACCTCTATAATCTAAAGCAATCCCGTACAAGTGTGTGCAATAAATAATCTCTCTCTTACGGCATTAAGTTTTTCTGTGTTTCTTGTTTTTTGACACTGGTTCAGAGAGGCGTACATGGCCATTTTTGTGGCTGTGGTCAGTGGTGTTGCTGTAGTAGGTGGCATCATACTGAATGGTGTTTCTAGTGTTTCTAATGTTTTGTCCACCTAAATGATGATGACAAAAAATACATCTCACAATATAATGCAGTCCAATCATCAGACATAGCCTCATATATTACAATGCACTATGTCACTGACACAATGCTGGGAAAAACTAAATATTAAAAGCCTCACACAGATCAAACATATTGCAGGGTTGTTGTATTGACTGCATTTGATTGCAGAGATGTAGCTAATGAAGTGGTAAATATTGAAAGAGAATAAAAAAATAAAAATTGGTCCTGATTACATAACTCCCCATTTCTTCTTTACATAAGTAATATTTTTTTTTGTGCAGGATTAAGTAGAACAGAGGAAAGTATACCCACTCTTATTGAGAATGTACGTTTCCCAGTCGAAAGTTTCCTCTGTCGTGCCATTGTAGGTTGAATTGTCAGGGTTCCACACACACTTTTGCTTTAAATGGCCCATAAACAGTTGTAACCCTATGAGGGCAAAGACGCTCAAGCAGAAGACGGTGAGAATCATCACATCAGTAAGCTTCTTCACTGACTGGAACAATGCACCAACAATGGTCTTCAGGCCTGCCAGATACAAAATCGATTGTTACTCTTAGTCTAAGTGGTCAATTAAAAGACACTGTCAACATTAACAGTAGGCATGTGCAGTCTCTAAAAAGTGATGCCACTGAGCTCTGCCTGTAAAACGCGTACTTCACTGATTTAGCACTACACAGTCCTGCCAGGATTTTTTGGAAATTACAAGGTCGCACAGTTGGCTGAATTTGCTTTAACTGTTGCAGTCACAACATCCTGGATGGACTGACTACATTTCGATATTACTGTCTGACTCACAATGAAAAAAAAAAAAAAAGATAAATTCAATGCAGAAGAACCAGAGATAACGTTGTTTTTGTTCCTCACATCTTCCCTGTCAAAACCCGATGCCCACATCACCCACATTGCAACTGGACAGCTCTGTTTGAGATTCAGGTGTGATAATGTAGCATCAGGTAAAGATGGGGGACCGGGGTTCAGTGGTCTGATAAAGTTGCATCTTTCTCACGCCATAACCCCAGATTTTTCATTATTTTCAAAGTTCTAATTTTAAGCCGCAGTGCTGACTCAAGTGACATCACTTCAGTCAATCAACTAAACTTTGCACAGCTCCCTCTAGGGAAGCAAACTTTTACACAACTCTAATTTTCACATACTCCTCAAGACCTGTAAACAGACTTTGATGTGTAAAAAACAGTGGAGTTTCCCTTTAAAGGTCCCATATTGTGAAAAGTCAGATTTCCATGTCTTTTTAAAAATAAAGCAGGTATAGATGGGATATAAATACTGTGTATATTGTATCAAAACACTCAGTTGACAGAGAAATGCACACAATTCATATCCAGTAACTGTGCCTTTAAACGAGCTGTCAGGATTTCTGTGAATTTGTGATGTCACAACTACTCTATATAGACTGCTTGAAACATAAACATAAATGGGTCTTTTTGTATTTCTTATTGGATTTTTTTGCAGTGTATGTGAATGACATCAGCTGACAGGAAGCAAACATGGACCCAAGCTGTTGCCTTTCAATGTAATTCCAGTGAAACCATCTATTAAAACAGAAAAACAGAGTGTTTCAGACAGAGGGTGATTATGGGTATATTCAAGTAGACTTCATGAGAAAAATAATATGTTTTTTGATCATTTGAGCATGTAGACATTTTCTAGTAGAACCCCAAAATACAAGTATGAGTCTGTATATGAGTATAGTATGGGACCTTTAAAGTCACACAATCCCTTCATTTTTAATACTGGGAAAAAGGGAAGCGTTTTTTGACAACATGAAGACTGTTTATCAGTCAGAACATAAGATAAAAGAAAGTAACAGTGAATTAGTATCATGCATGTCAGTATAGATGTACATGCAACAATAATAGGACACGACACACCCTCACCACAGATTAAGTGGCATTAAGTGCCTTCATTGACAAGCAAAGAGGAGCAAATGGATGTCAAGGAATAGTCCAAAAAACACAAAAGCAGCTTGTTCAGACCACAAGCAAATGTCACAAATCTCATAGAGGAACTATTCAATCCACAGGTGGTAAAACACAGGAACATATTTTTTTTAACATTGCTGCCTAAGATTCCTGATTTCAGTGGCTACACTGTGCACGTGGGTCAAAGAGCTAGACTCCAAAAATGACCCATTTAAAACCTGAGGACACACCCATTTTACCTAGCTATCACCTGGGAAGCCCAAGATTGTTTTTGGATTGCAATGTTCAGATTGCTGAACAATTCTTTGACATATCTGTGATAAGGAGGTAGACAGGTAGGGTCAGGAAGCTTTGTGCATAGATGTCATGACAGTTAAAGGGTGGGGGGTTGGAGGAGGTGCAGTTGAGGGACAACAGGAGAAAGTCATGCAAGAGGCTAACTAACATGCACTTGCCCCTACTGCTTACCTGGGATAACTGAAATGGCTTTTAAAGCTCTCAGCACTCTGAATATGCGAAGAACTGAAAAATTGCCCAGGCTGACAAACTCTGTTACATACCTGCAGGGAAACTTTGAATTAGTAGCCTATGGACAATTGGCTGAGACAACAATACACACACCATCGATTTAAACCAACAATCTTAAATTGATAAACAAAAATTTAAACACAACAGTATTGTTTTTGCTCCCATTCACAGTTTAAGTTAAAGATCTGAGACTTTTTTTCATGCTCTTAATAGATATATTTCTCTAAAACTTTGTGTTAGTGAGGACTTCTCCTTTTCTAAGATAATCCATCCACCTGACAGATGTGGCATATCAAAATGCTGAACAGCATTACACAAGTATGGCTTAGGATGGTCACTGCACTCTAAATTGTACAGTTTGATCATAACAACACAATGCCACAGACATCTCAAGTTTTGAAGGAGTGTGCAATTGGCATTCTGACTGCAGGAATGTCCACCAGAGCTGTTGTCCATGAACTGGATGTTCATTTTTCTACCATATGCCATCTCCAATGTCGTTTCCCTGAATTTGGCTGTACATCCAACCAGCCACACAGCCACATAAGTCAGTTACGATGATAGACTGACATCAGGTCAAACCCTGGTGAAGCAGATGAACATGCCGATGAGCTTCCCTCACATGGTTTCAATTCTTCTGTTGGTGGCTGGTCTCAGATGATCTTGCGGCTGGATGTGGTCCTGAACTGATGCGGTTACACGTGGTCTGCGGTTCTGAGGTTGGTTGAATGTACTGCCAAATTAACGGAAACATCACTGAAGATGGCTTATGGTAATGAAATCAACATTAAGTTCATGGACAACAGCTCTGGTGGACAGTCCTGAAGCCGGCAAGCCAATGGCACGCTCTGTCAAAACTTGACATCTGTGGCATTGTGTTGTGTGACCGAACTGCACATTTTAGGGTGACCTTTTATTGTGATCATCCCAAGGCTCACCTGTGTAGTAATTATGCTGTATAATCAGCATCTTGATATGCCACACCTGTCAGATGGCTTATCTTCAAAAAGGAGAAGTGCTCACTGACACAGATTTTAACAAATTTTTGACCAAAATTTGAGAGAAATATATCTATTAAGAGCAAAGGAAGGAAAGTCTAACTTATACCTGTGAAAAATGGGAGCAAAAAAAGTGTTAAAGCAATCAAACAGTATAAACTGAGGCATGCACATTGGTGACGGTAAATGATAATGAGGTCACTTCGATGAGCAATGAGAAATGCACCAGCTCCCATGTGATACAATGTTAAAGGAGAAGTCTGATAATATTCTACAATGTTTTTATTGTCAACAAATCCCATAATGAGACAAAAACCAACAACTTCCTTTAGGCCATAGACCTCCATTGTTCTCTAAAACTGTTAAAAACACATGAGCCACATTGCTGCGCTGGGCAACTTGTTCCTTCTTACAATGAACAATGCTGGTGTTAAAATTCAATAGATCAGCAACTGAAATTGAAAAAAGTGACAACAAATTAATTTTTTACCTGTTTATGTAATGTTTACCAAAAAAAATAGTAGTCTAGCTGCTTTAGAGAATTATTCTGCTTTTTTTTTTTTTTTTTTTTTAAAAATGAAAGTATATATTTGTGAACCATTCTAAAATATTTATGTCCAATAGGAACTGAAGGACTCAAGGCCAAGTGCCACAGACAGGGTAGGGAAATCAGGAAGTATCTGGAGATGCTCTAAAGCATTACTGGTTTGTGATTCGTTGACTGGAAAAAAATGACACCAGCCATTTCTTCAAGGCCTAAAAATGGCTTTTGAACTAAACAATTGCTGGTAACATAGACGTAAGTAATGATTAACGTATAACTGCTTTTGTTACCAGTGGTGAAACCAGTTAAACATAAAATTTGTTTGATGTCTACATTAAGGAACCTTCAGGGAAAAGATGTAACAGCTGTTCAAGCATCACTCCAATGGACTGAACATGTGGTGAGTACTTACGCCATGACAATGACACTGAAATCCAGCCAGTTCCAGGGATCTCTTAGGAACGTGAACTTCCCTATGCAGAACCCTCGAGATAAAATTTTAACCAGGGATTCAAACGTATAGATTGCAGTAAATGTGTACCTGTTGGAAACAAAACGTAGTTAAACTAAACCACTTTTCATATTTGTATAACTTGAGTATGTGATTTTAATTTGTAATTTAAGGGAAACTTACTCTACAAACTTTAAGTGGTCAGGCACTGTACTATAAGTCATAAATACACAGTTGACGAGGATGGTGCACATGATCACGATAGTGAACAATGTGCAGACAGTTGTCAAGGAATCCACTTATTTTATTTTTTGTATAATTCACTATAATCTCAGACATCTGGCAACGTAAACAAGTCATAACCACTGATTTATTGTGGTCTCAACATAAACACAATGCATGCTTCTTAGATAAATAACTTGTTGAAAGGATATGAGTGTACCAAAATCCTAAGTGATATTCTTCTGAGAGGGTTGAAGGGGCTCAGGAGGTACAAGGCAGGAGCGGCGTTGAAGCGGAAGATGCTCTTCCCTTTGTTTAATACTATGAAAGTCTGACAGAAGAAGAGAAATATGTGTAAGATAATCTTAGTTGTTGGCTGACTTGCAATATCTCATTATAGTTTAAAGAAATAATAAATGATAATAGCATGTGGTTACTTATCAAAGAGTGCTTATAATTTACAGCATTACTAACCATATTTGTTCACACATTTTCCTCACATCTTTTTTACTGGCCTTGTCTTTCTGCCATCTCCGACAGCCATTCCCAACCACAGGTACATGGAAATATTGTGGTGCAGCTCAATTAATTTGCAAATAAATTCAATTAAAATACTACATATAGTCAGCTGTAACTTGAACACAATGTTCTACAGCCTAAACTGATAATAGCAATGACGCTCTAGCAAAAGCTCAGTCAGGAAGACAATACTATTGAGACTGGTTCTGCCATTCACTCCTTGCACGTATGCTCACTCACTATCTCTAGGCGACATTGTCTGGGTAGGTATAGAGTCATCAGCCGATTCACAATCAACTAATAGCACAGCGACACGCCTTCTCTGTCAGCCTATCATCTTACTGCTCTTCATTTTAAATATGGTCCTTTCTCTGCCGTAGTTCTTTCTTGCTGCCGTCCACCTCCCCATCACCACCCAGTCTTTACGGATTCATCATCCTCATATGCCTCAGCAGTCAGCAGCCTCAGAGTCATTAGCTAACAAACAATTTCTGTGAACATGAGCTACTCTCTCCTCAGGCCCAGACACACCAAACTGACATCAAAGAATTAGCAAAGCCAACCATTGCATTGCCTCACGTTGCCTGTGTGTCAGCCAAAAAGTTGCACATGAACACACCACAGGACGACAGCCTATAGACAACCAGCATGTACAGACTTCACCTGTCTGAGAGGAAATAATGCTCAACACCAGCAGATGGTGGTAGTCTGTAATTGGCATTCACAAAGGGAAACTGGATGACTGTCTTGACGCTAGTTAGCCAGTTAGCACATTAACAACACAATCCAATGTTAAAAGAACGAAGCCTATGTACCGTGCGCCAGTGAACAATAACACAAACCATCATGAACCATCTCTGCTAAAGAGCGCACTGCCTTAAGAAAAATAATCTGACAAAAAGCCGATGAGGGCCGGTAAGCACCAAATGTGCAGGACACACAGCAAAGACTAGGGCGACATTGACTGACGACTGACTGTTGTCTGTTGCAGTCTTTGTAACTACACGACACTCCCACTTCACTACAAGATACAGTTGTGAGCTTTCTTCTCCGTCAATGCTGCTGGTTGGTGCAAGAACTTTGCATTGTGGGATACAGTAGATGAGGTAGACTGGTTCAATCCATACTAGAGATTTTTTTCCAAATCAATATGAAATCTGGGTATTTTTGCTTTCCTGCAGATTTTGCAGAAAAGGTGAGGAACCACTGACCTAAGATTCAAAGCTTCTGCCTAGAAAACAACACTGCCATGATAACAGCTGCATGCAGTGCTAAATAAGGGAATCCTCATTGCAGTGTCACTCCTTTGGCCTCTTCTAAAATACTAAACCACAAATAATACATATGTCTTCACACAGTCAAGGAAAAAATCAAAATGTGTGTGTTTACACTTCATGCTCAACTTTGAAATCAAGTAGACCTACTTTCTGATTACAGTAGTAGGGATCCAGGTCCTCCAGCGGTATCGACACCATGTTTTTAGGAGGGTCCCCATACAGAAGAGGAAGTGATTTGCCCGCTTCCAGGTCACGGCTGGGCTTGAGCTCATTCTCCTCATCGTCACGTTTTTCCTTCTCTCCCTCGGACTTCTTGGCTGTCTCCTCGGCGATCCGCGCCTCGATGGCTTTGAGGGACTCACGACTAAACGGGCGGAAGCTGTCTGGACCTGGTGGTACAAGCAGCTGTTCCATGTTTTCATCCTGCACCTTCAGAGTGAACGGCTAGCCTCCAACATGAGAAAGGCCTGAGGGGTCAGAACAGATAAGGAGCTCTGATTAGAGGTTGACAACTGAATTGTATCTAACATGAAATGTTATTTTATTGTAAATAAATTATTAAAGCATTTTGGCAGCAAATGTCTATTGGCAGATCAGAAGAGCTTGAAAAGCAGAGGAGAGGAAGGTGGGTGTGGTTCAGCTCTTTGGCCAGAGATCATCATCTCAGGAAGTGGCAGGCTATAATGAGCCTAGAGATGGCTGTCATACACATAAATTCCTGCCAGCTATGGTAAAATTAGATCTAATTATCTGCTCTTCTGTAGATAAAATTAAGATTTGACATGACAATGATCAATTCCAGGTGAGATTCTCGCTCCTCTCCTCCATCCCTCAAAATGAAAAGAGTCCACTTTCCCCTTAGAGCACAGAGACAGAGTGGTGGGAGGAATAGATCCATCCTGCTAATAGGCCTGACTGGTATGATGTGTTAGGCAGACCTATGCAGTATTAAATATGAATGCACTACTGACTGCACTGCATCTCTCTGGGTGCCCTCTCACTGAGAGCTTTTGCCTGATTTGAATGTAATAGTGTAATAGAATACTTCCACACGTTGTGTCTGTGATGCAAGAAATCAATCACAAACACACTGGTCAATCAACTGTCCTCAGCACTAGGTTGTACATGTGTGATGTAATTGCAGCAACAAAAGGGAGGTCCAACTATTAAAGAAAAAAGCATTGACTTGTAATACATGTCTAGTTTTCTCCTTATATGTAAGATTTACACTGAGCAAAACAAATGATAGGAGACACAATAAGGGAGGAGGGATAATCCTTTGCATTTGGATTTATATACACCTGCTGTATTATTCATCTTATCCAAAAATGTCATTGCCATCCAATAGAGGTCAATTAGGGATGTTCCTAATGGTTAATTTCCGTCCGGTTTAAATGGAAGTTTGAACTCAGACATGTCGACTTGTCTCTAAGCTAGAAAACACTCAGAAATCAGTCAGAGTTGAGAACAATTTAATCTATAAGTATAACACTGTCCAAAAAACACTGCATTTATTATTAGAGCCATTTGAAACTGTTAATCACATTTTTCAATCACCAAATTGAATTTTAAACACTGCTGAAATGCGTGGCACTTTGCACCATGCATTATGAACACTGCACATTATCCTGCAAAACAGTGGTGTAAACACTGCACAACATCAACATACATATTACCCAGCAATCATCACTGCATATCTGACAAAAAAATATCAGAGAAAGTAAGAAATTAATCATTTATTTGAGTAGTGTTTATTAGCTCATGTAGAAAAAGCAGAAAAATTTGATTTAGATAACTACTGACTATTAAAAAAAAAAAGAGTAAACTATGATGTAGGTGAGTTTGCCTTTTTGGGGACATATATAGCAAATGATGCCATTTTTAAATTAGGAACATTCTTTTTTTATCATTCCTCTTTGAACACAGGTATATATATATTTAAGGTGGCAATCTAAATCTAAATAGCCCCAGTGCAACTGTACTGCCTGCACTGTTTATATTTACGCCCCTGCTATGAAACATGACAACAACTCACTAAATAAAATCAAATTACTCCCAAACTAGGCTGGATTATGAAATGTCATCTTTGTAAGACTTTCCACCTTGCTTATGGAGGCAAACAGGCCAGTGTGTTTATTTGATTGTTTGTTTTTCCATCTCTTTTTTAAATTTATTTGTAATATGTAATTTAAATGTGTACATTGATAAAATAATAATTTCAATAATAAGTTTAATCAAATTAGTATTTTTGGTGTCGAACAAGGGTAGCAACGTTTAATCAGATTGTCGATAATAAGGCACATCCCTCATCTTTGTCCACACTTTAAATGTCATGTATGTGTGTCCATCAGGGAACAGACCAAGCTTCAGCACGAACACACCACAATAATCACAAATGTGCTTTCTAACATTACACACCACAAAATAAAAGTGAATCATTTAGGACCACAGTACCACATCATTTCAAGTCCCATCAAGTGACACACACTTTAATAGATGGCATTCTTTACGGTGCCACTACTCTGCTCTGCTCTTTACGAGTGAAACACCAAAATAAATGTGACACCTATTATAGTTTTGACTAAGAGGTGTAGCCCTCTATACAGTCCACCATATTGTTTACATACTGTAGCATATGGTACGGTATGTATTGAGCTCATAGCTTTCTTCTACATCAAGTGCACTGATAACGTACCTCTGATGTGAGATGATCTTAAAAGACAACAGCCCTTCCACATAACAATAGCTAAAGCATATAGGTATCTAGAGGAACATAATATAGCCTTTGTTGAAAGGAACAAGTGAGAAACAACAGGAAGACACACTTCTAATAACTTCTCATAACAACAAGGTCAACCTGCAGCGACTAACCTCTACAGAGGTATGCATCATCCTGTCAGTCTGTCCCCAACTCATTACGCCACAACTTGAGATATGAGCTGCCACTTTGAAGCTTCAAATAGTTCCACTTCAATTTATCTGCAACCTGTCGGCATCATGACCCTGTGCTGATTACCCCAAAATGGGTACATTTGCTCCCCTCCACTCTCGCTGGAACAGAACGTCAACACATTAGTTTGGTATTTGCTGTTCACCCTACATTTAACTGTGTCCTGCTGATGAGCTTTAAGTGATGACTGACCTTGGCCTCAGGCCACCTGATACACCTACAAATATATTAAACAATCACGCAGTGTCGAACGGAAGCTCAGCTTGAATATTTAATGTACATTACTCATTTGAAAACTTAATTCCATTGACCTCAAAATGCTTCTTAGCACTTAGATTAGGTAGGAGATGGTTTGGGACAGACTGTGGCTGATTGCTTCAAAAGCGACTGTCGGAAGCCCCAGTTCCACTGACAAACTAAACTGTGTCTTAATTTTGGTCGTATAATTAAAGAAACAGACTACCATTCTGAATAATAAACAAAACATTTTACCATGTGTTTGCTTGCATGTCAACGTGGCCTACGTTCTCACCAGGGTTCTACCTCTGCCTTCACAATTTTGCCCACATCTTGAAACTGATCATTGACTTCAAACCAGCCTGTGAGCTACAAGCATGAGAAAATAAAGACAAGTAGATCCTTACAAAGGTCAGGAAAGAAACATAAGGTGCAGTACAATATTCCACGGGAATCAGTATCTCTGCATTTTCAAAACGCTCAGTCACAGCTACTGTCCACGCGGCCTTTTTTTTTTAAAAAACAAAAATCTGTGAGGCTGAAGGTTAAATGACAGGTTGACATTTTCTGTCTCAAGAAATGCCTGCATGTCTATTGAAAGAGTTATTGGTGATGTAATCATTTATCTTCTATATACCAGCTGTGAAAAGATCCTATCCATGCTGAGCCGCAGTGGAGGGATAGTAGCACAATATAATTTATTTAATATATATATATTGATCTGTACTAAAAAGACCATAACTTTAGAGGGAATGCATTTGTCTGCCATCATTTACACAGGAATCACATAATGCAAGGGATATCTACATGGACAGTATGGACAGAAGGATCAACCACAGCGAAAAATTAACTCTCTCAATGTCCATTCTTTAATTTAGACTGATGTATTGTTTCTAAAAATTGTTCTTGTTTTGGTCAATCCTCGCCTGTTTTGCCGACCACCTTCACAGGCCCACAACTGAGCTGCAGCAATGCAACAAACACAACACATAGCAGACTTTATGGTTATTTGAACGCTTTTCATAAATGAGCAGGATACCTAACTTGTAACATACATGAACACATAGTGATAAGAGTTCAGTATTCGAGGGCTCCCAAGGGATGGACACACTCACAGCTCCTAAGTGCTCACAACTAATGCTTTCTGCTGCTGCCTCTCACAGACTAAAAGATCAGGGATTAGATCTCGCTCATTCAGGGCGTTGGCGAAATAGCTGGTGATGAGAAGCTGTTAACATAGTTCACTGGAACAAATGCACTTTTTTTTCCTTTATATACAAGCTGACAGGCTAGCTATGCGTGTGTGTGTGTGTGTGTGTGTGTGTGTGTGTGTGTGTACGGGCAGTCAGGGTAGAAAGAAAACAGGACAGTCTAATCTCTAATTGACAGCAATCTAATAATGACGATGACAGTCAGGCAAGCAGGAAGTTGTCTAAGATGGAGTGTGGGCTAATAGTTGCTGCCATGCCCATTAACTTCTGTAACATATTGTTGTCCCTAATTTGCCCTCTTGTCTTTATGAAGTACAAGAGATAAATCACTTTTGTTCCCCCGAACAGGCCTTCAACACGTTATAAAATATTACATTTAGCAGTTTGATAGTATGTGATATACAAAGGCTGCATCATATTGTCATGTGTGAAACTCCTCAGGCACATTTTTTTTTAAATATATGGACATAAATGTTTCGATATAACAACATTTGATAGATAGATAAATAGATAGATAGATAGATAGATAGACTCTAAAAATTCAACTTTTATCTCAGCTCCAGAGTTCCACAAATAATTAACATAAGTCCATAAACTTTTCATTCAATTTCAGCCCAATTCCTTTAGATAAACAGCACTCACATGCAACTTCAGATTGTTCACTCACCATCAGTTTCCCATCCTCGAAAGGTGAAGAATCAAAATACCGTGGAAGAGCTTCACCGTGTTTAAAATGTTGTTTAAAATAAACCTGTCCGTCCGTTTAAGGTGTTTTGACGCGTCTCCAAACGCACAACTGGTAATTTCCACGATTTGAACAGGAAAACCCTGAGAGAGAGGGAGTGTAAGTGTGTGTGTGTGTGTGTGTGTATTTTATCCGCCCCTCCGTGCGGGCAGAGTCAGACTACTGTACTAGTGTGCTTCCGGATGTTACTGGGTACCAAGTGAGGGCAGAGATGTCAGAATGGCTGTGGAGATGATATTGTGGTGGACATTATCGTGCGTAATTGTCAGGAATACAGATGTTTGCTTAAGCCACAACTATGAATCAGATTGTATTGTAAGGATGTGTGTGTGCGTGCGTGCGTGCGTGCGTGCGTGTGTGTGTGTGTGTAAGAGCGGGGGGGGGGGGGGGGGGGGGGGGGGGGGGGGGGGGGGGGGGGGGGGGGGGGGGGGGATCAGAGTTTCTAGGAGCCTATAGTTATTCAAACGTCACGGCAAGTGTTCAGTCATCACTCCAACAGCGTGTATCGGCTTCAGTCAGTGAGAAAATACACATCACATCGCAGAGGTGTATCTGTAGCTGCCTTTTATGTTTTGCATGTGAGGAATAATTTATTTTGTGAAGTTGGGTGGGTGACCTGAGCGTGAGTCAGGACATTCACTGTGAGTCTGATGCCACCTGGTGGATGCAGACAGCACTGTCACAGACAATTGTAAAGATCTTTGAATTGTAGCGCAACGTATCAAAGTTTCCAGGATGGAAAAACACACCGAGTGGATGTCTACTGTGAAGATGGATGTATGTATAAATATCATGTGCATATGTGTAATATAATATTTGAAAAATAATAATAGTTGAAAATTTCAATGACAACAAAAGTGCATTGAAAAACAATAAAAATGCATAATAAAGGTAGAGAAAAATAAAATAATAAATAATAAATAAAATAATAAATAAAAAGAAAAATGCAAATAATCCAGGAGAAGTATTGAACTGCAATGTAGAGCAAACAAATAAATAACATTAAGGAACAAATTACAAGTATTACAGACTAATTTCTGTAAAGATTCAATAGGTTTTACATAAAGCTCAATTTAATTTTCAATTTATTTATTTTAGAATACAGAGCACTGAGGTTTGGTCCTAAAAAATGTGAATCTATGAATACAATGTACAGCCAAAAATGTCCAATTTTAAAAATTGTATTGAAGTTTGGAAACCAAATAGAATAAGCGAGCACTTTATTATACTTACCAATTTAGCATTTATAAGCAGTAATAAGCATTTAGTAAAGACTTTATAACACATTATATTATAGTTGTCAGCAGATATGAGGTCATTTTTAAGTGCTTATTTGTGTATTTGTCAATTACTATAACTCTGGTTATAGTACTGGTTTAACTACATAATATAACATGGCGTAATTATCTAAAACATACAAAATATGTCTTTAAAAACCTGTAGCACATTATTATATACTGCATAAAAATGATGGTTAGGAGAGTAAAAGTTAAGTGTGCAGTGTTACACTGAGTTTCACAAAATATTCACTGTACACTATGTCTTTAATTTGTTCCTTATTTGTTAATCGTTTCCGTCCCTGAACAAAGGGCTCCTTTTAATTAAATAGTTTTACTGTAAAATCCTTAAATCCCTTAATTCCTATTTTCCATGCATGAGTCAGTACATATTTTGGCATCAAAGTGCAGCCAGTTTGTCAGAAGTTTGTTGCTATAACACCTGTCTGCTGAAGGGTCAAAATTAAAGGCTATATGTTTTTTAAAAAACCCCTGCTGATTTGCATTGCATTACGATGTTCACACGTTTCATTCAGTATTGGCAGTGGTTAAATTGGAATTTGTGAGCAGGTCCTTGCTCAGTGAGGTATGGCAGTGGGGTATGGGTGGAGTGGTTTCCAACAGTTTGCACAGGGACTGTTTCTTCAGTCATGTGGACGTAGATTATCCAGATTAACAATGTAACTGTTTTTGGAAAGATGTGCTTTAAATGGCATTTTTAATGCTGTCCCACAAGCTAAATTCTATTTGCCTCCATTTCATCAGGGAATTTGTCAAGACAAACACCTCAGACTGAATCCAGCTAAATAGCCAGATACCATTTTATCTTAATTTAATTATTATTTTTAGGTAAAGGGATCTTTTTTTAAATAAATTTGAGGGGAAAGTGTTCACTCCTATTACATTCCAAAGACATTTATCTATACAAAACTTCAAAAAAATAAGTTGTGTTTTCTTTTTCAGCCTTGTATCTGCTGCCATATTATTTATCTACTTAAATGAGGTAGGTTTTGTGCTTGCAGTAATGCCACCAAGGTAAATATTATAACATATAAGCAGCAAAACTGAAAACTCCCTGTAATGATCCACTCATTGTAAAACACAATAAGATTTGATGGTGTTGGACTCATCCTGAGTCACCAATGATTGTACTGTATAAACTCTGAATCTGTAGCTAGTCTGTTGGCTGTGCAGAAAAGCACATCAGAAGGGTTAAGTAACTAATGACACCACGTGCGTAAATTACGCACAGCCTCCCTCTCAATTTAGAGTCACGTGTAGATCCTGCGGCTACGTGATGGCCACAAATATCTAATAAAATCAAAGAAAAGGAACTGACTCTACATTTGTTTGGGAAGTGAGTGTGTGAAGGGTGCCAGGGTGCCACTTATACGTCACAGAGAGAGGGTGGAGCTCCAGCTTCCGGCCCAATTTAACCCCCGGGGGCGCTGTTGTTGATGTTACAAGGCTTTACTTGAGTAAAATTGAGCGACTTTTCCACCCCCTGTAAAGTTCGCTGAGTTTAGCCACACAGCAAATATGTGACAGTCCGACACTGAGGACACAAAGAGGAACAACATCCAACTACCAGCAGGTGCTCAAAATGGCTCAGCAGGTAGGTGATGCTATAGCTGTAGGACAGGAGGAACAGACTTTGTAAATATTATTATTACCACTTACTGCTTTGTGTTTTTATTTTACAGCTGAACAATGAAGAAGGGACCACGTTAGTTTCCACACACAAAGCTGCTGTGGAGCCAAGATGTTCAATGATATCTGCGTCTTTCAATTTCATCAATTCCATCATAGGATCTGGAATAATAGGTAAATACTGACTTTATAATTCAAGTAGCCTACAATGCCTGACAAAACCTAATAAATGAATGCATGCAGTCGCTTATTTGGATGATAAACTGCACTAAAAAAACTTCACATTGTTTGTCCTGAGATTATCCTGTAAAATTATGAAATAATTTTTGTGCAACAAGGAGAAGCTTTGATACCATTCAAGCCCTGCAGTGGTAAACCTCCGTGTCATATGACTGGCGCCTGTTGCCCCCCTTTCCCCCCTTTAACGCTTTCATCCTGAAAAAATGCCTGAGTCATTATCCAGTGTGTTAAACAACATAGAACCAGCGTGGCGTTTTCAAGACTTACTGATTGTAACACTTTTGCTTTACAGTTAAAAACAATTGAGTTAAATGTTGCAGTTATGTATATGCAATATGTTTATACATCTATTTTTGACCAGGTTTACCATATGCATTGAACCAGGCAGGGCTCCCCTTTGGCCTTCTGCTGTTGATAGTGGTTGGGTTCATCACAGGTGAGAATACTGAAGGTGTCATTTTGAACATGAATGAATTTATCTAAAGAGCAGACTGCTAAAATTATGTTTGCATTTGATGACAGACTACTCCATAATCTTACTGATTAAAGGAGGCAACCTGTCAGGGACAAACAGTTATCAGTCGCTGGTGCAAAGCACATTTGGGTTCCCTGGATTTCTGATTTTATCTGGACTGCAGTTCCTTTATCCTTTCATTGGTGAGTTGTTTAAAGTGTGCACGTTTGGCTCATTCTGAGAAATGCTGCAGATATAAATAATATAATGATACTTCACCTTCTTCCTCAGCTATGATTAGCTACAACATCACAACTGGTGACACACTGACCAAAGTATTTCAGAGAATAGCAGGAGGTACGCTGCATGTACTTTATTCCACTCTACATAAAAGACAAACAGCACCACGTGTGCAACAAATCCGAATTTTAAACATGTATAGTGCATCTATTCAAATGATTTATGTAATTGTTTTCATGGATTGTTTGCAGTTGGTCCAGACCACATACTTGCAGAGCGTCACTTTGTGATCCTGCTATCGACCCTTGTGTTCACTCTGCCGCTCTCGCTTTATCGAAACATAGAGAAACTTGGAAAGGTACGTGAGATTAAAACACAGTTGCCATTGTCATTTAGTGATTTTTAAGATGCCTGTAAAACATCCATGTGTGTTACCAGGTGTCCTTCCTGTCAATGGTGCTGACATTTACCATCCTCATCATTGTAATCATCAGAGCAGCTACCTTTGGACCCCAAATGTAATGCTAATCCCTTGTGATTTTAATTTAAATGTTTCTATGCGTGAACCATGGGGTTCTTTTTTTAATGAATACACACTTAAATGCTATTATACAAACATAATCATGTCTTTCTGTGTTCTTTAATAACTGAATATGAATATCACTCTCCAGCCTCCCTACAGAGAATGCATGGGCATTTGCAAAGTGGAATGCAATTCAGGCAGTTGGTGTGATGTCTTTTGGTGAGTTTTTCTGCATGATGCTGATAGTGGAGCTACCTTGAATAAGTTTAGAGAGAAGAAATATCAAATGCAACATCATACACCTGAGAGAGACACACCAATAACAAGCATTTAGCTCACCGTTTTGGTTTTACAACCTCTACATTGACTGTACGGGTAACACTCACTGCTGTCAGACCTGTTTCCAGCAGCAGCAGCAGTAGGCAGGAGATAAGCTCTGCTCAAACCACGACTTTTTACATGGCCAGCACCAACTGGCTGACACAGCACCTGGTGAAGAAAGTCAAACATTTAGCAAGCTTAAAGCTATTTTTCAGAAGTTGGTGGGGACCAAAACAGACCTAAAAAACCTGTCGATATTGGAGTTACAGTCATTAGCAGACAAGAAAACGTGCTTCCAATAGGATGATAATGCTCTATTTCCAGTTGTTTTTTAAAGGTATTCAATACAGGATTGTTGGTTACTGTTTGTAAAAACGCTCACCAGTGAAAGAGAAAGTTAAAGAAAACCCCAGGTTCACTCTCATTTGGCGTTTCACCTCGCTATATTTGTCCTCTTTTGGGGCTGTGTCTCTTGGATGCCTGCTGCTTAAGGTCTGGCACCTGGTTGCTACTTTTTTATAAAGCCCTGACTTCACCTGAGTGTAGTGGGGGTACAAACCTACAGTGGCGTGCACAGACTTTTTGAAGGGCAGGGGCGAAAAGAAAAAAAAAGGGCACTTTAGCGTGCGTTTTGGCTCCCAGGAGGGCACTTTAGCCAAATCCTGCATAGTTTGTCTTTAAGTAGGCAATTTGATTTCAGAGCTGTGTGTCCGTCAGCTTGTTTTGGTCTTTTTCTGCCCCCTAGTGGCCAGAAATCAATGAAGGCAGCTTTAATATATCACTAAAAGCCAGTGCCCGCAGCTTTAATGCGCTGTGTTGTCTGTTCAAGACATGCAATCAAGTTTGAAATACAATAATTGAGGCTATTAGTTTAGTACACCCCTCTAAACATTGCTCTGATTTACAGTAAATCAGTGCGCAGCATCTCAAAGAATCTCCTCCTGAGTGAGACTCTGTCCTTAAGTGCACCCTGTGAGTCTAGTCCACCAAGGCCTTTACACAAATTGCGGTGAAAATTATGGCTTTGAATCAAGTGTCTCAATGATGATAATAGCTACCACCGCTACGAAGGAGCCTTTTAGACGAGGATGTAGATGCTCTTGGGAAAATCCAGTGCTATATAGCCTCAACAATGTCAGCTGTAGTTGACAGTCTCTCAGTCTTAAAGGGCATGGGCATGATTAATTCACCATCAAATCCAGTCTGCAGTGAGGAAAGAAGCCTCCTTGGTTCAGACAAAGTAGCACAAAAAAGAATTGAAAGTTTAGATTCAAGCAAAAGAATAAACTGCTTCAAACTGTTTTTATGAGCGATATTTTTCAGTGATTTTATTATGTATGTAAATGGTACTCTGATGCACTGCCCCTTTGTGTCTCTTTAGCTTTTATATGCCACCACAACAGCTTTCTTATCTATGGTTCTCTGGAGCAGCCCACACTCGCTAACTGGTCCCGGCTCACCCACGTGTCAGTCGGCTCTGCACTAATAATCAGTGCTGCCTTTGCTGTCGCTGGCTATACCACCTTCACTGGCTACACACAAGGTATGGATATGATGGATACTGAGCTACACTCTCTAATTTATTTTCAATATCACACATGTATTTTTATGGTCTCGTATTTCAACGCCTCTTTAGGAGACATATTTGAGAACTACTGCAGAAATGATAACCTGGCAACATTTGGTCGCTTCTGTTTTGGCCTCAGCATAATAACCACATTTCCACTGGAGTGTTTTGTTACACGAGAGGTAAGTGATACTTTCTCATATGCCAACCTAAGAATTTTAACGGTTAAACGGTCACATATGTGTGGGAAAGTGGTATTTTGAGGGTTTGAGCAAAAAGAAATCTTGGCACTTTACACCCAGTTGCTCCAGCAGAGCTGCTCGGTGGGAAACAGTACAGTATCAGCTGTAGGTGTGTGTATGTTACCCTCTGTCATCTTGCAAATACCATGCTATTTAAAAAAAGTTTTTCCATTTGCAGAAGTGCATAGAACCTTCTCTCTCTTGTTTATCTTCTCAGGTGTTATCCAACGTCATTTGCAGTAGGGATCTTTCAAAAGCTGAACATGTGGCCATAACAATACTCATAGTTGCTGTTTGCACATCAATATCTTTGGCCTATGACTGTCTGGGAGTTGTTTTGGAGCTGAATGTAAGTCATATCAGCTCAGCCATTCTGCAGCTTATCTCATATCATCTTGGTTTGTACATATGAGTGTTTAATTTGACCTTAATGGCATTCTCTTCTACCATCCAGGGTGTTTTGAGCGCCACACCTCTGATCTTCATCATTCCATCTGCGTGCTTTCTCAAACTCTCCCCCGGCCGCTGGTTCCAGGGTGAAAACTTGATACCCACCATCCTGATATTTATCGGCATGTTTGTCATGATCACAGGTTTGACGATGACGGGTCTCTACCCTCAAGACTGTTCACACGGTGTGGAGATGTTCTACTGTGCAGACGCCAATGTCACTGGCACTGTACCTCCTGTATGAGATCCAACAAATATTTAATTCCTTAACTTTTTTTCTTTAGAAACAAAACTTAGATGTAAAGAATATGTATGCGGACACACCACCTACCTTCTATGTACTTGATGCGGTGCTCTTTTTTATGGTTTGGGCTGTAGTCCTGTAGTTTGTAGTAGTAGTAGTAGTTTGATGTGGGAGAACTTGATCAGCCTTGCACAGTGCCCTTACTTCAATCCTGTCAACAACACCTTTGAGATAAACTGCACGTTGACTATAAACCAGGCCTTATTGCCCAATGTCATTAATGTTCTTGAGGCAAAACAGGAGCAAACTGCTGCAGTCAGATTTCAAAGTGTGGAACAAGATGTACAACAATCACATTGTTAAATGGTAGCTTCTGTATTTTTCAGTCCACGTTCCCATGTTTCTGTGTTTAAGTCACTAATGGGAACATTTTTTGAAATTAATCCACTATTGAGCAAGAGGGCTACAGCCAGGCAACAATGCAATGCTAATGGGCAATTGAGCACCATCAGTGTACGTCCACTTAAAGTGCTTGTTTTTGCCACTGACAGGCTCAGATTGTTATTTTAAGTGTCTGACAACATCATGGAAAGGACCCTACAAAGATAAACCTTTTGCTTAAGAGTGAGATCCTTTACAAAGAGCCTAAACATCGCTATGGCCAAACTCACCAGACTCCATTTAAATAAACAGTTGATTTATCATTGTAAAACATGCTTTCTTCAAAGTTGACAGACACAAAATAAAGCTCACATAAACTGTCGTGGTTCATCTTTCCACTGCTCCAACAATCACCAACTCTGGTTTGGTTGAAATAAACCCTAAATTTACCCAGTTAGATGTAAAGAATATACTGGCTCTATACACGCTAAAATGACATATATTAAAATGGAGTCTGGTGGGTTTGGCAATAGCGATTGTGGGGCAGTTTCTGGTTAAACAAAAAGGATCTTACTCTTTAACAGACAGATCTATCTCTGTAGGCTCCTTTCCATAATGTTCTCAGATACTTAAAATATTATTCTCAGCATGTCAGGGACAAAACAAGAACTTTAAATGGACATACAAAAAAACCAACAACATGGGAAAATAAGGTCCAGGTTGAAAAATACTGAAGTTACCCTTTATTTTGTACATTTACGCTGTGATTTTCCCACCTGTCATATTGTAATACCACTTGGTCCTGAGCAGGAAAAAATATTCTAAGGCCTGTACACAGTTTATGCAAAGGACCTCTCAAAATCTCGGACAAAAGCCTGTGAGGTATCGCCACTGTCACATAATTACAAAGCACAACCCTCTGACCTTTGATAATTGTGTCTATCTTGCAGACTCCTGCATATTGTACAAAATTACCCACAATCTTGCTCCTCCCACACTGACAGGGTGATTCACTGTGCTCAGATAACCTCAGGCTAACAAGAGCATCTACCAGAGGCAGCTGGGTAATACAGCAAAGGTCCACAGTGAATTTAACCGGTCAGCTTTCACCATTAGAGCTGCAGACTATTGGGCCACAACACCAAGCACCATCAGACAACTAGACAGTATTTGGGACTCTATGTATTTTTAAACCACAGTTTAGCTCATGGCTAAAACATAACCAATCATGTGAATATTCTGTTTCTCTTTTTATATGATGTGATGTTTTTACATGGAAAGTGTTTTTGTATGATGCAGTGTTTATTCTCTGTATCCCTGCTGCATTTATAACATTTTAAGCCATAATGTTTTTGTAGATTTGCTTGCCCAGGGACTGCTGATGAAATTAAACTATCTGGCTATCATATAATGTGAAGGTGTCCACATACTTTTGGCCATATATTATACGTGGATGTGTTTATTTGTTGTTTTCCTTTTGGAATGAACAGCCTGTTTAGATATTTATGATTCTGAATTATTTGTATCACACTGAATGGGAAAAGCGCGTTTCCATGTTCAGCCACAAGATGTCACTGTAGACAAATAAAGCAGAAGGAAGTCCACAATAACAACAACGCTGATGTGTTTAGATACGGCTTATTTCTAAACAAATGAGTGGATTTACTGGTGTTTTTTTTCCTCTGCACGCTTCAGCTGGGTCTTTACTTAATGTGTTCCTGCCAGAATGTGAACTTGGACGCGACACCGTTGTGCCAAAGGCTTCATCAGGATCCTGGAGGGAAGGTAAACTGGATCCGAGAGACGCCCCACTTTTCCAGCTCAATGTTGCGATGCAGTGTTTTGGATGTGCAGAGAAAAGTTGGCAGACTTGTCCACGGTGTCGGGGGCAAAATGATTTAGATATGCCAGACTTTGTGTTTTAAGAGGCGGGGGGGGGGGGGAATTATTTCACCACACTGGAATGGTTTGCGTAAAAGCCGCAAAACACGGAACTTGAGAGCGGAATTATGGATCATTTATCCAAACTAAACCCGTTTGTAGCAGTCTACAATTAACTTTACCTTTTTGGAGACTGATGGAAGTTGACAACTGCGTCGAAAACCAACTGCATTCATGGTAAGACATGTTCATTAAATACTTTGAATCGTTTGCGTTATTTCCAGTGGAAAAGGAGGAAAAAACGGTTCATATGACTGAAAAACTGATGACCTCATGTGGGATTCGCCCATATTTCAGTATTTGCCAGTTTGCATCACTTGAAAGCAGCAGGTTAAACTGTAGCCTAGTATGTTTTGACGTTATTTAGCATGTAAAAAGTTACTCAAAATGAATTGTGCTTTCTGTTTGTGTTTGACCAGTCCGAGGGATTGTGTTAAACCAATGAGTTTAGTCATGGATGATCATGGATCCCAGCCCCATCCACGCAGCTCTGCTCTGAGGTATGTAGAACTGTCATTCGGATTACCAGTTGTCATATCTTTTTATCTACAAGACTTCAGAGGACTGTGTGTCCAGTAGCCTTTTAGAATATTAGGCATGCTTTATTTTTAACTGAGCCAAACCTCCATGGTGCTGATATTATTGTTTGGAAAATAGAATTATAAAACAGATAAAGGATGACAAATAGAAAGGCCTTGCTTGTTATTTGTGCACATTATATAATGCCACCAAAATTCTTCCACCTATGACTGCTGGCAACAACAGTTGTGCGCAGGCAAACAGCTGTTTTCTGACCAATCTGCATGAGTACAAAGCCACCTTTGTAAAAATAATGCAACTTTCAAATAGCATTCCTTTCACTCAGTGCATCTGAGCGAAGTCACAGTTGTTGCAGACGTTTCAACCTTTGAACTCTCCTCATTTCCTGCTCTCAGGGTTTTACTGAGAAATTGCCTTGACCATATGTAGAGGTCATGGGAAGTATTTTGCAGGCAAAACATTCTGCCTCCTCTGTCTCTGCCTGTGATGAGCCTGGTGGTCATTTTTTTTTCTTTGTTGTGGAAATCTTGAGTTCACCGGGCTTGAAACTGATATTCTATAAAATAAAGATTCGTCATGTCCAATAGTCAAAGAGAATCACTGTAAAAAGAGCTGTGAGTATATGACATGATGGAATCAGTTTTGGTTCAGGGACTCAGAGATGATGTCAGCTGCTTGTATTCCAGTGGATGGAATCATTAAAAAAAAAAAAAAAAAGGTGGGAGTGAGTTTCCAGAGCTTTTTTACAGAGTCACTACTCACTCCTCTGGCATTCAGAGGAGATCTGCCGAGTTTTTGAGATTTAAATTAGAGGTGAGATGGAGAATTTGAACATATGATAGTTTCCAATCCAGTATTCCATAATAGCCATGCAAAGTTTCCAGTCCTGCCCTGCACACTGTAGGTTCCCGTTTGTAAAAATAGCATACAGGCATGTTGCATGCAGTTTACTAAAAAAGAAAGAAAAAAAACCACTTTCTTGGTGTGACTTGTGTTCATATTTCATAAGCATTGTGTAATCTGGGAGCAGAGCCACACTCCCTGGCAGTGGAGAGCAGCAGACAACCTAAATCTCTCTGTGGTTTGACTATTATTTGGAAAAGTAAACCGCACTCTTCCATAAGCTGCTGGGGTGTGCACATGTTCCCTGTCTTATTTGTGGCTTCTTATATTTAGAGCCAACAAACTTGCTGCCTCTCACTTTTTCAAATTCAGTCATATGTGAAGATTTCATGTGACCCCAGAAGCTATGCTACATTTGTTATCCAAATACTGAATGTGCCAGAATCACTGGGCTGGCAATTTTCCAAGCAGAGATGCCGCTAGCGCACATAAGACATAGGGTACAGTATTTAACATAATGTAGTCTTAACAAAATTTTTTAAAAAAAAGGGTTTCTTGTCAATATTGTTTTAATCAACAATCGAAATAATGAATTGTGTAATCATATCTGGTGCATTTTTGTCTCCTCAAGTGTACATTTTTTTGTAAAGAGCCATATCAGTTCATTCATACTCTGTATAACAGCGCTTTGCTTGGAGCTTGCCCTGCTAATTGGACACACCTTAAACCATGATCTCACATGGCTGACTTTCCTCAGGGCAAAATGTGGAATTAGTTAAGGTATTGTGAATCCCCACAGCTGTTTCCAGATATGCAGGCAGTCCAAGGGCACAGCTGCTCATGAGTCTACAGATGAAAATTATGGCTGGTGAAACGTAGACACTTGAAGCATGTGGGCATGGCCAGTTGAGACATAGTGACAGTCACTTGTTTTTGTTGTGTCTTAAAGCTACAGTTGGTATCTTTAATAAAAATAATTTAATCAGCTGTCATTATATCCACACAGCAGTACAGATGATCTGTGAAAAAAAAAAAACATATTCATCTGCCCTCTCAAACTGGTTTTAATGGCTTTACTGCACCTAAATGAAAACAACAAATCGGAGGAGTCTCTAACACAGCTGTCAATCATGTCAGTCACTGCTGGTGAACTGTGGTCGAACTGTCAAACTAGGCAGCACTGATCAAATATGAATCAAGATGCTGTTACTGCATTGCCCATTTCTCACCTCAGATGTTTTCAGAAACACATTTTAGTGTACTGTTTAGCTGTAAAATGAGAAAATTTGCTTGTCTGGTGGGCAGTGCTTGGTGCTTCTCTCAGCAGTTTCCAACATAGTGGTAAACGTTTGTCATTTTACAGCTAAACAGTACACTATTATGTTTCTGAAAACATTTAAGCTTAACACTCGTACTGTTTTGTGGCTGTAGTGACAGTTTTAGCAAATACAACAATGTTATTTTCATAAAATTTACCAAGTATAACTTTAACATTTCTTCAGGCTTCTAGTCTGTCGATACTGAAGACAAAATAGACAGATCACAAGTCCTCAGAGAACTCTAAAGCACAAAACAGCATTTTCTCCTCAAAATGATCCTCAAGAGACAACAAGGCTTTCTTCATTCAGGAAAATATATCATTTGGTCTACAGCATTCTGCCCTCAGAGAGCCCACTCAGATCCTCTGTGCTCCAAAAGCAAGATAAAGGATGTCATTCAAAGATATCCACCCACTAGATGCAATAAAGCAAGAGGAAAATCAGCATTAATACCCAGCAAGCTTGGCCTGGCAATGAGCTGGTGTGTCTTTGTATACTGGGATGTTTTATCTCATGGATGCTTTCTGCCTCACAGGGCTAAAACAGACAATATGGCTAACATCCAG